CTTTCGAGATTAAACAAGATAAGTACTATCCGCCGATAATTATTAGTATCCTATAACCCATTGCGCTAGATCTTTCGATTCAATAATAATTGAAATGTTAAATGTAACTCTCTTTTTCACATACTATGAACATTGTAAACGTTCACTATTCAAAAACCATTGACACCTCAACATTTTGCTATTAACATTTTCGACTCAGTTTTTCATGAGGAATACGTAGATGCCGGCTCCTCCGGGTGACCTGGATCACCCTGTATATGTATAGGTAAATTAAGATATATATTTTATATTTATAGTAAATTTATATACAAAATATCATGTATCACGCACAATTTTTGTATTTAATAATCAAAATAATATTATTTGTTTTAGGCACAAGTAGTAAAACAACATTAGGCTGCAGTATAAAATGGATTTAAAAAATTACAGATAGCGTGGAAAAAATTTATAAGTATTTTAGAGCTATAAAAGCACATCAGTATGTTGTATAAAAGAAATAAATAATTAATAAGATTGAGTATTAAACATTTCGGCATAACAATAAATAACAAAATAACATAAAATTGTATGGACTTTTATTAAATAATCCTGGCAGTCATATAGTATATGTCGTGTGCAATTTCATTCATGCGTATGTATTTCTTGTATACAAATGTAATGTATTTATATTATCGTAATTATCAATATAATCTTACATTCTATATCTACATATTAAACTAAAGGAAAAAAATATTAAAAATGATAAATTATAATTATACACAATTATTGTCCATAATATATATTGCATATATTATTGCTCTCCTTATAAATCATTACACACATATATCTAAATTGCATAAACTATAATAAGATTTGGATAAGTGTGAGAAACGAACTTGAACAGAGATTCGCATCCAAAATTAAGAAAAAATTTAACTTATAATTTTCTCCTTATTTCATAAATATGTCGACGTATATAGTTCTAATCATGATATTTCAACTGTTAATAAATGAAAATACCAACTTAGGACAATTATTACACATGGCTAAATATATATATGCGTGTATGCTTATCACAGTTTCCATAAAAAAAGATACAAAAGATATTGAAAAAAAAAAAAAAATGAAAATCTCTTCCTTTAACATTCGCACATAAGGATATCACGTTTAATTTTGTGATACTATCGACAATTGCGTAAGAAAAAGTTTTTCCTCATTCAAGATCATAATTTCTAACAGCGTTCTAGTGTTTTGTATCATTATTATGGAAAAATCGCGCAAATCTTGCCTCGTGAAAGACTATAAAACACACCGCACAATATAATTGCATGGCCAACATACATCAGATTCAACAATACAAATTAATGTCAAAGATTTCTTCTGTTGAGTAACATATATCTATACTTCATAGAAGTACAGTTAATATCGTATTATTACAAGCAAAAAAATTCTGATATGATCGGTCATCGAACTTATTTCTTCAATATATGTAACATCTCTTTGTTTTGCTGCTGCAACGTTATATCTGCTTTCTCAGTTTTATCAGTAATATTATCGATAAGATCGTTTTGCGAATCTATTTCTTCGGATAAACCGATTGCTAGGTGTTTCAGTCTTGCCAATGATCCACTCATCTCATTTAGATTCTGTTCGAGAACTTTGGTTACTCTGTCGCTAGTAGGCTTAACATCCTCCAGACTATAATCATCGTAACTTCCTTTTATCACAGTCGACGAATACGAATTGCTCATGTCGGTTTGTACTTGCTCTAAAGTATTGGACAATGGGGATGCCATAGAACCAGAGCTAGAAGACTCGGACAACTTTGTCGATGGTATCGGAGCATCTAACGATTTGCCACTGAGATAATTCTTCAGACTACCAAATACGCTCTTTATGCCTTGTATATGTTTTTGACTAAATCTTAAGGTACTATTAATATCATCTAATCTTTTTTCTGTCCTTTGCAGCTGTTCCTTTTGTCTAATTAATTCCTGAAAATGGAAATTTAGCTATATTAAAATCACTCATGAAATATGTTAAGCAAGCATAAATTTCCTATCAGTTGTCGCACGCTATCTGCATACTAGGGACGATAACAAGCTGAGGGGGGTGTATCGTTAAAATTACCTCGGCTGTAGCTACACCAATTTGCTCGGAGTCTCTCAGAAGCGAGACGGATCTTTCTGAAGATTGTACCGTGCGCTCCTCAATTTCCTTCTTACGTTGCAGCAACTGTTGGCGTTTTTGCGTTATATCATTATCGAGGTTTTGATAACGCCCAGCAGGCGCAGTCCTGGCTGGCGCGTTCCTCAGAAACGTCTCATCGTCCACGTCGTCTTCTAACGAGAAAAATGGATTCTTTGGGTCGCTCAGATAATTATGACCCGCCATTTAGCCGATGATTTTTCGCGACGTACAAGTTACTCTTGCAGGTGATAAGTACTCGTTGAATGAGAACACGTTGGCTCGCTCGAACCTTGTTCACGTCTAACGATCAGTCTAACTGGACGAGTGACGTTCAACTGCCGATCAATGGCTGCACAATCCGCACTGGCTAGTGGCTACATCAGCTATATGCCGCTAGACGTTGGACCGGCTAACAGAGTGCTAATACAAAACGCGTCAACTCGTTGGCACAAGCGCAGGCAGGCACACTTGGCTGTGACTCGGCACGCGACAGACAAAAATGCTTGGAGAATTAACCCAATTATCTCTACCTTACCAGTCACCAGCACACTAGCGCCACAAATTGTATATACCCGCGGCGGAACAGAAAGGTGAGAAAGGTGTTGCTATGTAGTTTACATCCACTTCTTCAGAGGGAATTAGTGCACGAGGATATTTTGAGGTTATAGGCTGCGCCCTGTGGTGTGTGGGTTAGGTGTGAGGTTAGGCGATCATGTGCCGTTCCATCATTCCATGTGAGTTTAACAGTCGCGCTTGACCACGCTTGACACAATCTTCTGAGTGTGGCTCGACACCGGTATCTTCTGTCTCTTCCAAAATGATGCAGGAGGATAACGAATTGAAGAGATTGCTTAGTAATCCAGCGAAAAATGCGGGCGAAGATGGATCCATGGCTCCGCCGTTATCGGTGAGCAATTAAATACATACGTTGGACTTTTCGTGCTGGACTTTCTAACAAATAATATATAAATTTAATTTGTAGACCAACGTGCCGAGGCCAAGCACATCGCAAAATGTTAATCCGCAATCGATGATGACTCCGATAACGCCGGTTAATAGCACGAAAGAAGTCCTGGAGCCTTGTTTACAGTAAAATTTCATCTTATTCTGTTGTTATTATTATGTAGAGTACATGCAGTATCCCTGATCGTTAATGTCCGTATTATTTTTGCAGAAATGTAGTTTCTACAGTCAATTTGCAAACAGAACTGAAGCTCATGTATATTAATGTGAGAACTAGGAATTCCGAATATAATCCAGCGAGATTTACTGGATTAATAATGAGGATACAGAATCCTAGAGCGACGGCGCTGATCTTCCGCTCTGGCAAATTAGTATGTACCGGCGCGAGAAACGAGGAAGATTCGCTTTTGGCGGCAAAGAAGTTTGCCAGGATAATCCAGAAACTTGGATTCCCTGTAAGCAACTTATATCTCTCGCCTCGATAGATAACCTCGAGTTCTTAATTAATTTACATTGATTTACATTTTTGTAGGTAAAGTTTTCCTGTTTTAAAATACAAAACATAGTTGCGACGTGTGATTTGAAATTCCCAATTAAGTTGGAGAATCTAAATCTTATGCATGGTCAGTTTTCTAGTTACGAACCAGAATTATATCCTGGCTTGACGTACAGAATGGTAATGCCTAGGGTTGTGTTATTAATATTTGTGAATGGTAAAGTTGTGTTAACAGGTATGTAAATACTGAAAGAATTTTTTATCAAAGATATTTTATAGTTAAATAATTATTAAGAGAACTTGTTTGATAATTTTTAGGAGCAAAAAATAGGACTGAACTACAAGATGCATTAAATAATATATATCCAATATTAAAGAGTTTTAGAAAGCAATAATATCATTTATTTAGAAATTAAATCAAGTCAAGTAATAAATCTCAAGACATGTAAATATAAAAATTAACTGCAATAGAAAATTGTGTTTTTGTGATAACTGGTGATCTTGGAACTTTGTATATGAGAGTAGCTTTATCTTGTATTTTTATATATCTTTTGTAATGCATAATTGCCAGCATAATATTGGAGTATTATTAATATTTTATACGTTTAGTTTTATTATTTATATTAATGTATTATGCGTAATCTATCATTATAATTATGCTAAAAATACTTTACAATTAGTATAGATTTGCATATATATAGTATGTAACTGTATATATTTCTTTTAACACACATTTAAAAAAATCTTATTGCAACGAGATGTTGTATCTTGTAATAATTAATGCAATTGGTTATGATTAAAAACCACATATGCTTCTGTTTATTGTTAAAGTATATATTTCAGACGTTTTGCATAATGAAAATAAATATTTTTTGATATACTATATATTAAAATAAAATATAATTGACAAACAATTATATACTGTGTATACAATTTACAACATTTTACTATATCAGAATTATTTTAAATGTACATACATCGAAGTCCACATCTATATAATAAATTCTTCTTTAACTTTATGAAAAATTGGAATATATTTGGATCTGGATATGTTTAATGGAGTGTTCAACCGCTTCCGAATACTGAGAGTGTTTTATAAATATTGCGAAATATAGAATTTTGCAAAAATCTTACGAAACACTCTATGCATTTCGGTAGGTTGAAAGGATATTAATATGTACGAAAATTGTTTTATAAACTGAATAATTGCAACTGTAGAGACATTTATAACGTTAAAACGTACGCGTATATAATTACATGTATCTGGCAAGATCTCTATTAATAATTCTATGAAAAGAAAAAGATACTTTAATACCCGCTGATAAACAGCCATGGTCCATTTAAGAACTTTGTCCGTGCATTCATCAGACTTGGAAACGTTACAACGTTTCTCAATGTTTGACGCTTTAACGCTGCGTAAATGCGTGTATTTTATTTATTATTATTAGGCGGTGCCTAATTATGCATCTAATAATCGATATCTGAATAAAAGCCCTTTTTTGATCGATTTAAACATTAATCAAATGATGTTTGTATTATGCTTTCATGTTCGTTTCCCAATTTCCTCTCAAGTTCGTTTCTGCAATCTTTAATCAATCACATGTATGCCTTTCTTTGCAGCTATAGGCAATTTTTCTCCTTGAAAGAATGGATTTTCTTCCTGAAAGGGGATATTATATACATTTAATTTTATTGTTTTATACTGCTTAGTTTTTTTATTTATAAATTCATATTTTTTTTCCATTGAAAAAAAATTAAAATTAATTCTTATACTTTTGACTGTTTAAAATTGATTGTTTAAGAATTTATATCCGACGAATGTGTATATATATATATATATATATATACGTATAAAACAGAAATTTCAATTACCTGAAATTGTTCGACAATTTGATTGAGTTCGGAATTCGAAATATGCATGTTCGACAAATTGTTACTGTTTCCAGAATCGGTGGAGCACTCTAACATATGTTCCGTGTCGCACATGCAGTCCTGCGCACTTTGATAGTCGCGACTAAACGCCGCCGTGTTTTCGAAATTGGTGAGGCAGTTGTTCTCACCTATAAAAGTCAAATAAATTTTGAATTATATGTCATATAAATATATATATATATATATATATATATATATATATATATATGTATGAAAATATTATTTTCCGAATTAAACAGATATTTAACATAATAAGAAAACAAAAGATATATTTCACATATTTTCATCGCGCGTAAAATTGACCAAGGATCATTTGAATATTGACAAACATTAAACAGAGAGGAAAAATACGTTATGCAAATCAGAAGTATATAAATTAAGATTTGACAGATTTGATAATCTAATTAAAAAATTGTACCGATTTTTTTTTATTAGATTATACTGCTGAGAATTGAGAATTTTTTTTTACTCACTCGTGTATCCGACCGGGCAAGGATTCGGAGGAGTACAGTAAGCCGGTAAAGGATTTTCCGCCTTTTCGTCCTTGGGTCCTTTTAAACCAGATTGAATCCTATGTCTGTTGTAGCCTTTATTGTTATTATTTTTATTATTATCGAACCGTTGATGCCCCCAGAGCGTACTGTGCTGCAAATACTCTTGATCTCGTATACTCGGGTTCGGGTTCAGCGTGTCCATGCCATCGTAATCGGCAGGCAATTCCATGGGTAATTCCTTAGCTTTCTCCTCCTGATATTCCATATACGAATCGGACACACTCGCAAATTCATTTCCTACTTGATCGATCAATTCTCGCAAAAAGTTATCGGTCCATAAATCCTCCTCCTGGATACATCCGAATAGTGGATTACACGCTCTTTTGACATTCTGCAAAAATGGATGAATTAAAAGGAATAAACAGGAATTTACTTTGCGATGTTACGAATCTTCGAAATTGACAATTATCTTTGAGATACTTGCTGACTTCTCTATATGTATAAATTTATCTTTTTTTTCACTTGTATTTATTTTAATTGTAAATTCATTGTATTGTTTTAATTTCTACGAGAAATAAACAAATACATTATAAATCGAAGAAAGATCTCAACAAATTAATTAAATTTTCTTCTAATTTATCATTAAAATGTATTGCTCACTTGATGGTTTGTGATATCAGTATATTAGGATTTGAAGAAGAAAGAATAAAAATTTAGAAAGATTTGAATCAATTCTTAATTTCGAAGATTAAATAGTCCATCTTGCAGAAAGAAATTCCTTTCAATTCATTTTAATTCATCTATTTTTTACATCTGTATTAGAGCTGTTGAGTTTCATAATTACCTTCATCAAGGGCAAGTAAATGTTCGCCTGTGCAGCAACAGCAATCAAAAGGAGCAGAATGCAATAGAGCATGATAATCAATGCGTGCATCTGTAGAATAACACAAAAGATTTTGTTTAATGTAATTTATCATTTATTTTTTCATTACAATCAGTCTTACACAGTAAGCAAAATATTAGTAATCTATTAGCAATTTGTCAGAAGATTCAATCAGAATAGCATACGTATAAGCAAATAAGCATTGCAGCTATATACTATAGCTGCGTCCACATTAAACTCGAATTCTATCGACGTAATTTTACAGCAGATTGATTTCAGAAACCGAGTAAAATTTGTGATAATTTCGCAATTCTTTAAATAATATATTCTATTTAAATGTGTGATTACGAAATGACAGATTTTCTTCAGTTTCTGTTAATATAATCTTCTGTCGTATTTTGCTAGTAAATTTCGAACTATTGCTAGTCTGCCGACAAAATTTATAGTAGATACTTAAAAAAATCTGTTCTTAATTTATCAGATTTATTTATCTGAGATATCAAGATTCATAATTTGATAATCATCCAACAATTAAATTTATTAACAAAAAATTTTTATAAAAAAAGAGTTTAATAATACATTTATACTGTTTTAATTATTGTTATATATTATAAAAATCACATTTTGAATTTAACGACAAGTCAAACGAATTCTCATCAAAATCCTTTGCAATTTAGATTTTTTTGAAGCGCATTTGCGAATTGTTTAATTATATAGAATTATGTTTTACGAAGCGGCACAGGAATGTGTTAATTTTTTTCGCTAGTCTGACGCGTAACTCACCATAATCGACGACAAATGATACGCGACGGAGATAACCGACGACGTGGATCTCGAGGAGAGATGCCGCACACCAGTTTTCGCTGCACACACGCTTTCCTTCACCTCGTCGTCGTCATCGACGGCCGCGGTCGCTGTCGCGACGAGCGCCGTTCGCGGTCCCAGCAAGTACCAAAGTATTGATTTATCTTTTTCCATCGTTTTCCCCTCGTTTACGATCCCGTCCCGACAACATGCTCGTTCGCCCACAAGCTCGATCCTCGTCGACCAACCCACATTCGTAAAATCGAGCCACCACTAAAGGTCATTCGACGAGGCTGTCGTGGCCAATATGCGACTAATGTGGTCGAGAATCGGAGAATCCTTTTGATAGATAGATAGATAGATAGATAGATAGACAGATAGATGTAGAGCACTGATGAACCTTTGGTGTTTTCAACTGTACCGTATTGTATTTAAGTCTTGTTCTAAAAAAGGAAAATGAGTTAGATGAAATTGAACGCGGTTTTATAAAAAGTTAAACACCTTCATTATACATTATATACCTAATTATACAATCTTCAAAATCTCTCTGTAATTATTTCAAAATATTTAAACTGATATCATTTAATAATACAAATAAATTTAGGTTGAAAATAAATTTAAGAAGAATAAATAAAAGAATTATTTAATGACCTAATTGCATTGACTATCCTTTAGTCACTTTCTTTTATTAGGATTATTTGACATTTTGTATTGTTTGAATTTGCACATATTTTAAAAATTATTTAATTAATTTCACGACTTGTCCAGTGATTCGTAATTTTCAAATTTTTCTTAACGCAGAGTTATCCAGTTACTTTATTTACTAGTTAACTATATATCGGTTATTTGCTTATCCAAATTGCATTTATAAGCAACGGTTGCCTGCAAATGTGATTTGTGTGCAGAACACGTCGTTCGGATAACAATATTAAAGCCAGCTCGTATATCTCAAAGTCCTGTCGAGAAGCTATAAAGTATCTAAAGTACGACGGGGTCATTTTGTTTCCCGGACACGAAGCACGAGAGTTAAGATTATATAAATAAATGTAATTTCTTTTTGCATTGACGTTTTCTCCAAGAAATTAATAATTTTATTTCCCTAATTAAATATATTGCACGCTTCCACATACACACATATTAATATCGCTATTATGCAAAGTAAAAAGTATTATTTCAATTTATACATTGCTCTATTAAAATATTTAAAAAGAAAATAATAGTTTCCAAAAAATTGTATAGAATTCCATCATTTGAGGTTTGTTTGTTTGCTTGTTCTTTCCTACAATCTATTCTTTTGTAACAAAAGAATAGATGGTAGGAAAAGTAATATTTGTTGCAAAAGTAATATCTTATAAATTTTTTCACGAGATGCGCAGAAAATTGTGGGAAATACAAATTTGGAATTTGATAAAGGCTTGATGAAGAAGCGTGGTGGCGGTTGTTTGTCAAGCCGGCATTTTCATTAAGCGTACCAGTTACAGGAGGGTTAAAATAGAAAGTGTAGTGGCGTAGGGATGAAAGATCAAAAGATTCTTCCCCCTTGTTACGGTCGCATATAAACGTCCATTAGTTGTTGTCGCGCATTGCGTTTCAGCAACTCAATTTGCAAAATCAAATTCTCGTTTCGCCTTCATCTCATCACGCTAAGATTGATTATGTTTATCACATTCACAATATTTTTTAACTCTTTCTTGTACTATTACGTTAGGTATTTTAATAACATTACTGTTCTCTAATGTGTAATTACTAATAGCTGTAAAATGATATCTTACTTGAAAAATTACGCGAGAAAATATAAAGTCAATCTCTATTTTATTTTTATTATGTGTTTGAAAAAGAACGTGTTTGTTCATTGTACAAAATTATTTGAAAAAAGGAATGCATGCAAATACTTTTTTTTACCTATTATATAAGAAAAACTTTTTAATTCTCATTCTTTGCACCAATTTAAAATCTCTGCAATCTTTTTCAATTCTTTCGAAATTTTTAGCTGTTTAATTTGTTTTCTTGTTATTGAATACTTTTTCAAGTCTGTAATATAATATTATTAGCAGGGGCGATGAACAAATAAATCGCGACAATTTATTCTACACGTCCCAGGGGAAGGAGTATCAGAACATTCTTGAAGCTCGTAGTGATTTTCCAGCGCCCGGTCCGTCCGGTCTTGTGTCTTACAATCATCTCTCGTTCGAATAAAAGTCCTCGTCTCTAGTCGGCTTTCGATGCCAAAGATTCCTTTGCGTAAACTAAATTACATCCGCATTAAACAGCGTCCATTCAACGTAAATCATTCAGAGCATGCTTATCCCTCGACACTCATCAAACAGATCAAATTGCATTTCTTTTTACATACAATATAATGCTTCTTACGTATCGCGAAATTGATAATGTAACCAAAAGCAGAATTGTGAAAGCGAAACGACGATCAACTGTGCAATGCTTATTATTGGCACGATATTTTACGCTTAATGTATAGTTGATTAATGATGGAGCCTGCTGTTCACATATTTAGTAGATATGTTTTAATGTTCTTTGGATACAGAGATATATTGCACGATATTTAAATTTCCGGATATATTCCAATATTGCTTTGGGATAAAAATGTTGCTTGCGATAACCGTGAGTAAATTGATGCAGTTTTACATATCTTGATTGATCAGCAACACATCCATTTGTTACTATTACATTCGCACTAATTTTGGAAATAATCACGAAATATTTAAAATAATCAAAATGATGGTTGGAAAAGAAGTATATAAACCTATATATACTGTTTCGAAAGAAAAGCTTACAGATAATGCTTAAAAGCATTATCTACAATAATTATAATAACACAATTGATTAAAATATTTTTCACGCTATTAACTGTTAGCGGAATTGTATATTTAATTAACCTGATATAAAGATGTACCTTTAGTTTAATCATTTGTAATCACATAAATTTTGTCAATTGTATTAAGAATCATATAAACAAGAATATACTATATATTTTTACTATACTATTCTTATATAAATAAAATAATAATTAATTATTGTGTTAATTAATAAATGAGTACCATTAACAAAATTGCGTGTACCAAGCGGTCTTGCCAAGCGGAAAGGATGAATGTTCCGGGACATCTCAGGATTCTTCTATCGGCGATAAGGGCGGTATGCTGTATGCGTAGTCAACGTGGGGCTGTTACGCTCTGTGTCTCGGCGTCACAAGTATTGATCCCCGTAGAGAGCCGCTACGTGAATGGGTTATGGCTGTCTCGTACTATTCCGCAGAATTTCGTACGATTCTCTCTTCGTCACACACGTTCACCATCTCCCCGTGATCTCGATCTCCCTCTTAGTCGAGAGCTTTTTGTATTTCGCTGCTCGTCACGGCACGATATCCACCCCCGCATGTTACGTTGCTGCTGTATCATGCATGACGTGGGCACCGTATTTATTTGTTATACTATAGATGCTGGTTTCAGCTTGCGCGTGAAAATATAAATTACTTTTTTATTGTACGTGAATGGAAAAGTAATACAGCCGTATTTTTTTGCGAAAAATACAGTTTTGCACAGTTAAGAAAAATATCTGTATTTTCCTTCTTCATAAAAAGGCGTCAAGATATAAATAACTTTGTAGTTATCACACAAAAGAAAAAGGAGACTTTTTTATTTAAAAAATCTCTTAAAAATTAATTTAGCTTTTTACACTGTATCTCCGAGATATGTATACTTTCATTGATTTTTTTCGCTTCTTGATGTACATAAGTTGAAAAAATTTCAAATTTCCAGTGGTATCTCTATTTTCCAAAACTCAAATCTTCTGTTTTAAAGAGTTATTTACAGTCATTTGTAATCTGTAATCTATTTCTTTTATAGGTTTTACATACGTACCATCGCTCTTAATGATTAGCGCATTAGCATAGCTCTAGCGAGCATTTAGCGTCGCAATAGCATGAAATAACAAAGTTAAGTAGTTTAAGGAAAAGCGGTACACAATAAATTATAAGCGTATCTACAAACCGGCATCATTGTACGGTATTAATAAATATGAAATATTTCGCTTATTACGCAAGAAAGAACATTAGTCATATTTTTCATAGATGTAAAACCGTGAATATAGGAAAGTAATTTAGGTAGCTGATTTAGTCTTTAATTGAATCTATCTTCAAGAAGAAAAGTATAGTTATGAGTGAAAGGTGCATTTCTAGGTTGTTAACATACGTTGTTAAATATCCAGAATATTTATTCAAAAACTGATATGTAAATTGTGTTTGATACGCGCAAAATTGTCATATAATTTTCAAATATATTTTTATATTTTTTCTATTTTTCTCTCTTCCTTTTTTAAATTAATTTTATTATGACAGAGAATCAATTGTACACGTTTAGAGAGAATGAACAGTCATCATCGGTAATAAAAGAAATATATATTCTCTTTATCTTTTAAATGATTTAATTTATATTTACTAAATAGTTAGTACAACAAAATATAAAATATAATATTTCATTTGTAAAATTTAAAAGAATTACGCTTGCTATATATAATATAAATAACAATGATTTATTATTGTAAAAAATATAGCCGTCTTCTGTATAATGTCTCGTCCATATTTTAGATAAATCCATGTGAGTGTGCGAACCAATACACAGTATTCGATCTAGAGAAATACGGTCCCTATCTCGACAAGATTCGAGCACTCTTTGTGTCTAGTCTGGAACATAGAGTTCAGTCCTTGTTGGAGGAATTCGTGTATAGCACAAATTCCCGATGGGCCAAGCAGTTTCCATGTTTCAAAAAATTTGTCAATGTGATAATTATGTGGAAGGATCCTCTGAATAGAGTCGCCGAATACGATATAAATATGATAGAAGAAATTATGAGAAATATCGTCAAACGCATGATAAAGGACGATCTGATCAACTGCTTTCTTGATTCTGTCATTTTGCATCAAAGATTAAGTAAAGTTTGTCATGAGCTAGACGCATTAGGCATCAATGATAATATTTTAAGAAATTTGAACGTATGGGAGTTTGTCAACGAGCAAGGCTATTTGGATCACAATTGTTTCACGTATGTTATACAGAAGAGAGATAATTTTTTATCAAAAATTTAAAATAAAATATACTAAGTATCGACGATTAAATAACCATTTATCAAATTGATAAGTCGTAGCTTTGATGCAAGATTATTCTTTCATTAAATTTATTAATTCATCGGGAATTTATCGTTTTATTTGTCACGTAAAATTCTTCTGTTATATTACTTTTTATTCAACACATCTTACTTTATTCAATAGAAATTTCAATACTGCAATGGAATGTAACACAGTGTCCTGCAATAGAAAAAAATCAATCCGGTGTAAAAAAGCTATCAAGCCGCTAGCAAAAAACGTTTATGACAAAAATACCGAGCGCATACGACCAACGACGTCAAAATACCGAGAACATCAGGTTCTTGATCTAAACCGAAATTTTCTTCAACAAGAAGAAGATAATTCGAATCATTATTCTATGTGCGTAACAAATGGATCGCAAAATGATAGTACTAACAAAATAAACAAATCTTTTAATGAGAAATCTTGCAACACCGAATCGAAGAAGATACGGAATGATTTGAAATTAAAGATAATTGTTCATAAAGTGTATCTAAGAGATTATAAATATTCAACATTTTCGAGCTTTAATGTTACTCGTTTACCTTTGCCTTGCAAGCCGAGCAATTTAATTAGGCAAATTTTCGAAGCTGATCCATTTTTAACCGAATCTTGCTTGATAGTGATGAAGCGAAAGTTTGAAGATAGCATGTACAATGTTTGCTCGTGTCTCAATAGCGTTCTTGAAAAATTAGATAACAAGCTGACAAAAGCATTATGTCTCAATTGCGAAATATATCCTGGATATATCAGTTTCAAGTTAAAAGTCAACAATATTAAAAAATACTTTTTCGTCGCGAGAGTATCGATTTGTCAAAATGTCCATAAATGTACGATTCAACAAGATCTCTCTATTTTGTCCTCTAATTCAAAATCAAGTAATAAAATCAACGAATCAAAATGTTTTAAAAACAATGATACAAATTTTAACGATGCATTTGGACATGCCGATGAAGAAATTAAAAAACTCGACACACACTATTCACAATCAGATCGAAGCTCCATAAAAGACATGGCGATAGATACGTCGCAAAACGAAGCAGGAAATATTAATGAGAAAAGGATTACATGTATGGTTAATGAGAATGTTTCGAGATATTTTCAAAACCTTGCGATCTTTTCTCATAATAACTCTTGCAAAGATACTGTCGAAGAAATATCTAATATGACATCATACGTTGATAATTCTGAAGAAAGAAATAAAGAATACTGTAAAGTTTCGAATTCGATAGGAATTAATTGTGACGAATGTGATGATATGGAAAAGGATAAAAAAAAGATTTTTGAGTCGAGTAATTCAATTATAAAAAGTGACACGTTTACGGAGTTAGTAAATAATGCAAATTGCACATGTTTATCGTATGAAAATATTATCGATATAAACAATGGAATTAAAGATATTTTTGGTAATAAAGAGTTAGACAATTTTTCGCAGACCACAAGCATTAACGAATACGATTGGACTCGTTCGTCGTCGGATAAAAAATCGAATCTAGAAAATGAACTTTGTAATAGATGCAGTATTACATCATTCGCACAAAATTCTGAATATGATAAACAATTGGTAGAATTAAATTGTAATCGTTTCTCAAACAATAATATCAATATAATTGATAAAAACTTCGATATGCAGGAAAATAATAGTTTATTAAGTTCGACGAAAGTAGAAATTGGATGTAAATGTATAAACTCATATTGTTCCTGTCGATGTGAGGATTTTGTAGACATCGCAGTCATTGATAACAGTTCTAAAGAAAATATTGTTTGTGCTTGTGAAACATCTCAAAATAATTTTGATACAGTAAAATCTCAAAATACGGACTGTTCCAAGACAGTGCAGATTTTACCATCTAGAAGCAACAATTTGCTAACGATTTCGGTTCATATGCCTAGATCAAAGGTATTATCGAAAGAAATCAATGTAGACACATGTCATTCTCAAACAATTTGGTTGACATCTGATAATGATAAAAATATATCTACTCTCATGGAAAGAAGTGATGGATGCAATAAAATAGCAAATCTTTCTACTCATACTTTAATTTCTAAGACAAAAAATAAAAATATTCCTTACGAAAATAAAGAAATTTTAGATGTAAAAGATGAGACACATGATTTTATTACATCACCGGAAAGATTTTTCGCATCGAAAGAGAGATTCCGATTCAACGGAGACTCAAGAAATTCCGGTATCTCGACAGGAGAATATCTACGCGCGGAAAATCACTCGACGTGTGCGACATCCAATGTATCCCTATACTGTCATTCGTTTGCAGCGACAAGTGAATTCACGATGAGCGGCAGGCAAGATGGATTTCAAAAGTCAAAACTTCGCGAATGCAAATGCACGAAATCACGGAACGGTATCCGTAACGTAACTTCGACAATGATCAAACACAGAACAGCATCTCGCAGATATCCAAATGATTATTCTGCGGAAATACGACCACAAACGATACTCGCGATGACAAAGTTTCGAAATTCCGTCGACAAGTCTATCGACAGAATAAAGGATCTGATTCGCGAAAAGTTGGGAAGGATATTGTTTAACAATAAAATAAACAATAATAATAAAATGATTAAAAATTTTTGGAAAAATAAAGAATTTTCTAAAGATACTAGAAGGAAAAAGACAAACGACAAATATACAAGACAGGTATATTTCTTCTTAAAAGTATGTTATTTATAATTCATTATAATTTAGAAAATGGACTAATTTCAATTTACCTATTTTTTGCAGGATTACAGCATAACTTCATGCTCAACTTGTGATTGCCGTAGACAAGGCTATACCACATCTTCTCGCGAATCTTCGAACATAATTCTATCAATTAGTACAATACAGAAGAGAAGACGTAAAAGAAATATTAATAATTGTAACTACAAATTGACCGATAGTAACAAGGCTTTGTTAAGCTTCCGCTCGATCAAAACTTCTCCGTCTTATGATTCGCTAACTAGTATAACCAAAGATATTAAAAAGCAAAAATTGAATAGAAACAATCGATCGCAATATGATAGAAAGGAAAAAATTGATAACATTATAAACTGTAACAGAAACTCCCACCGATACAAATTGAAAAAGTCGAGGACAAGTGTAACGATTTCTTCGCAATCGACCAAAGTATCTCTCACAGAGAATGAATCGAATTATTCTGGACATTACACGTGTAAACAGCAAAACAAGACATGTGAAAATAAGCGCATCTGTAAGCAAGTGCATAATCAAGATCAGCGTAAAAATGAGCAAGTGCAGCAGGAATGTGAACAATACGGGAATAAAAACAAATATCGAGATGTATCGATTAAATATTCTAATGTCAATAGCAATGAATCTTTAAAAACTTCATTATCATACACTTGGAGGGGAAACGCTAGAAATGTATATAAACAATTTTATGATATTTCGGAACTAAAAAATGTAAAGAGATTTGTAGGTTCAAGAAAGAATGGACAAATATTTGAGAAAGATATGTCCAATCATTCCGATGATAATCTACGCAAAAGACATGTCTTTGCCATTTTAACCGATGTCTACAATGATTACATGGACGATTTTGATCTAAACTTTAAATTAAAACTGTTGCGATATGTAGAACTATGTAAGAGCATCAAGCATTTGTTGATGAGGACATTACAACCGAATGACATTTATGAAGTTAGCATGGCATCAGTATCTGATAGCGATTTGTGAAAGAGTTTGTTTTATTATGATATTGTCTCGCATTGATATTGTCGCGAAATGTTATAAAATAATATGTCACATAATTTTCAATGTTAATAGTACCGTTGAAAGCATCTTTCAACAACTTACGTTAAAATGATCGAGATTCTCTTCATTTGATATCTTCTTTTATCATGGAAATTTAGTTTTATATAAATCTCGGAAAAGATAATAGTTGAAATATTGAGTGTATACTAAATGCACTAAGGTAAACGCTAAACTAAAAATATTGTGTGTGTGTGTAACAATTACAAAATATGAATCTATCTAATACTGACTTTATGACAAAACTATTTTATATGACTTGTATCTTAAATGTGACAATGAATGGCGATGAAATACATTGCTCAAGATCTTAAATAAAAATTTTGCATTATTGATTATTTTGTAGATTTTATAAAGAAATAAACAAAATAAGTTGAGCTGGATAAAAACCGTCTCTCTCTCTCTCTCTCTCTCTCTCTCTCAATTATAACTAAAAATATCCAACGTGGACATTCTTACCTTGCAAAGAGATACAAAAATAATCACTTTTTCCTTGTTAGAATCGCCACATTCGCCACAAGCGATGAACTTGCCGGCAAATCAATTCCCCTTTATGGATTAAGCTGTATTCCCGCAGGCGTTCGTTGGCACGTCAGGATGATAGTGAAATCCAAGTTATTTAGGGCGCCCGACTTCGAAGAGAAGATAAAGTATTGTACCAACCATTGAGAACGGCAGCATCCATCCCTCCGGGCAGATCGATATTTCCTGGCAACCACCGGAAAGGGTGTCTACCCCCGATCACTCTCTGTTTGTAACAATGCAAGCTGGCTATTGAATTTGAAGGACAATTTTTCGACATATTTTTTAATTGTTAGCATTTCATTATAAAAGATTTGAATGAAAATAACTGAATCTTAGATATCGCGGAATTACTCATCTAAATTTTTAAGTCAGATATTTAATCAGATTTAAAGTCGATATTTATGACAAAATTTTCAAGAGTTTTTATCATTGACCTCAATCAGTTATCATATGATATGATTATTAACGAAAAATTTGTATCATAATTTTAGAATTGTTAATTTTATTTGCATAATGATTTTAGATAATATATTAAATTAAATAGAGGCAAAAAGAGCATTGTACAAAAACTATAATTTTATTATGTAATTGTATCTCAAATCTGTAATTGGTAAGAAAATTCTCATTTTCAATCGTTTGGACTTAGAAATTTTATGATTAAAATCGAGTCTACACTAGTAGAAACTCAAAAAATTAAAAATTAAAATCATAGACTTTCAGAATGTAAGTTTTAATATAATTAAGTTTAAATATCATCTTTATAATATTTTAAATTTAAAAAGATTATGAAGATGTTTTGAACTTTTAAAATAAACGACAAAATTTAATAATTAATTTATTAATTATAAAAATATGATAACTATGTAAAAATTTGTTCCCTTCTTCTATGTATTAAAAACTTTATTAAGAAGCTAGATTCGACTAATCGCTTTACTCATTGTCAGATGTGAATTTCTCAGGGGGTTGAACGATACCCTAAATAACATAGCGAAATCTCGGCATACCAACGATGCGTATGTATTGCGGTTAATACACCAACCTTAACGCTGTTACGATCGTTCTTTTTCCGTGCGTGCCGTTTTGTTGTTGCAAAACTTTCGGCCGGGGTGCACAGGAAGCTCCGCCTGGGGTCGATCTAAAGGGGGTTGTAACCGCTGATGATTGGCTAGTGATATCGATGCGTCGTTCCCGACGATCCAATCGCATCGTTGCGTCGAGATGCGCTGACGCCGTGGCCAGAAATCAACTTCGTTGCCGCCGTCGCCGCCGCCGCCGCCGCCGCCGCCGACGACGACGACGACGACGACGACGACGACGTCAGGCGACGTCGACGACGTTCTCCGTCGCGTACCCCGCGCTACCGTTAGCCACTCCGCTCGTAACTGTATCTGGACTTAATTATTGGTGAGTTCCGCGAATTTTCTTAATTGTTTCCGGTATTCGCCGTTTGATATTTTATTTTTATGAAAAATCACGAATTACGTTTCCATTTTGCTTGCAAGCAAAATTGAAGACAATTCCCTTGTGCAACCCTGTGTCTTTTCGGAATAGAGCAAAATTTGGAATTTTCTATCAAATGGTGATGTGATCGTTACTGCTTTATTTACTGGTGGTGAAAATAATTGTGAGAGTTTAGTGAAGTGAATAATATTGTTCAATTTCAAAGCAAACATTTTGCACTTCAATTTTTTTTAATTTAGTTCTTATCCACAGATTTCTAGTTTGGACTGAAATCGATGAAACGATTCTATGAAATTTTATAATTAAATAGAATCAAGAAAAGTGAAAATTTTAAAATCATCTGTTTTCCATTTTCTATCGATGAAATAATCGAAATTTTTCTTAATACGTTTGCTTTAGCTGGAAACGTTTTATTTCAGAAATTTAACATAAATGATAAATGATAAATGTAAAGTAGTGATTCGCTTGTAAAATTTTTAGAGCGATTCAAGTACACAGAAAATATCTTTCGTGTTTTCTTTTGTGAAATTAAATTTAAAACGTCTAGCAAAACATTCCAATAGTGCCGATTGTGATGTTTAGATATGTGAAATACGATGATTGACCTAGCCACGGGTATTAATGCTTCTGATACTTTCTCTATTATTATAATTAATTCATTTAGACTTGGTTTGCACGATTGCCCAAGGCTGTGAGATGTTGTCGACGTTCATTTGTTCTATTCTTACGTCGATTAGCTGCAAATTGAGTTTTCGTTTTAATTAAAATTCTCTTTGAATATATCACGGCAGATTCTCCCCCTGTTAACGCCCTTTATTATGCATTCATGAGAATGAATATATCTTTGTTTTTGTATATTTCTCAATATTATTTATATTTTATTATTTTATTATATTCTTTATATTTTAGAAAAAGAAACATAATATCAGAAAACAATTACAATGTTAATTGTGAATGAATTCAGCCGTCATTTATACGTTTTTAATCCTTAATTATCCTTGTCATTTAAAAAATTGTATATTAAATTATTTTCTTTTTAAACAAACAATGTGTCTGTTAAGATATTATCTAAATTCATATTTAAAATTGCTAAAATACATTATTAATAACGAAAAATAAACGAGGCGCCAAGTGTCACAACGTAGAGAACACGAAAGTGCCGAATATCCATTAAGTTGAGTCAGCGTGTCCCATATACTCATCATTCCACCCTAATTCGTTAACACGTACTGTACATTTTGATGCCTTTTGTCTGTCACGTGCCATTTTAATATCCGAAAGCCATTGTCCTCTGATGCGCCTCTTTATGATCGGCGCAGCACCCTCGTAACGATTTTTGCAGGCTGCATGCTCTATCATGCAATGACGACGATTATAATCTCTGACAAAGCTATTACAGTCATAGAGTAGAAATACAAAACATAAATTAGAAAAGAATATTTTATTTCGAATATAAGCCAATAAGAAACTCTTTAAATAAGAAAATGTTTTAAAGCGTTAAGCGTAAAAGTTAAAATAAGATATATATATATATATATATATATATATATATATATGTATATATATATTTCTATTTGTAAATATAATGAAGTTTATTTGCGCATTATAAAAAATACGAAGATTGTTTTTAGCACTTGTATACTGCAGTTATACACATTTGAAGTTTATACATAAAAATTCCAAACACACACGTCATTCTGAATTATCTTACTTAATTTTACAGCTTGAAATTATAAATCCCATATTTATTATACCTTTCTTCAATACACTGTGTTTTAATTAAGTGTGAAATCGTTAAGATTTTAACCGAGATGCGTCTACGATAAGTTTACTTTAAGTAAAAAATATGACCTCAGTGTACGGTCGGTGAAACGTTGCTTCTCACAGTTTTCTACCCTCCAAAGATGCTCCCTCGAGAGTTCGGGGATTAGGGGTGGAGAGACTACCACTCCAAATAAACACTCCTACCCGGATTCCCCCTGTGCCTGATCTATACAGATACTCTATATAGATATAGTAGATCTTTCTGAAAGAAGCTGTAGATGGCCAAGATGCAGTAGCAAAGCGGCAGTTATTTCTAAAGACATTAAAACTGTGAAATTACCTATAAAATATTTAATTTAAAAAAAATATCTTTAATGTATGTTTGATATAAGCATATTTAAATTATCTTTTATTTCACGATTGTTTAACATATTTCATTTATAAAATTACGTAATATGTGTGTGTGTGTGTGTGTGTACAAATGTATTAATATTTTTTAATATTTTAAATTTTATATACAATAACTTGTATTACATTTATTACTACAGGGGCTGCCAAATAACACCGCGATCGTACAAAATCACGAAGCAACCCCAATAATTGGAAAATGTCCAGATTCGTAGCGGCGGGTCTCGTAGCCTTCGATTCCTTAAAGACGAAAGCGACACTAAAATTATCCGGGTAACATACTGCGCACATTTATAATAGATTTAACGTATTTATATAGAACAGTATGTCAGTATTTATACATATACATATAATATTTTTATAGTATATATTGTGCTTTTATATCATATCATTATGCCATGATTTGAATTAAGAAAAGGGATTATTTCAGGAAAGTGCAAATAAAAGTATTAAAAATTTACTATTCAAATATGAGAAAATAATTGTATTAAAAAAATGTCAACTCTCTGATAGATTTAGAAGAGGTACCGATACCGGTTATGAGGAATTTGAAGCTTCATGCGAGGGTAGCAAAGACAACAAGGGATTCGAAGATGAAAGAGGATACATCGCGCAGCCTTCATTCGAGTCGCTTCCAGAGCCAGAGAGACCACCATTGCGGCATATCGATACTTATTGCATGCCAGAATGTCCATGTCTTTCAAAGAGGTACACCATCGCAACGCTAGCTTGTATAGGTAAGAATTGACAATAAATTAGAATGCGATTTTCTTTCTCCCTGTACGTTATTTGCTACTATATTTTGTATCTTGTACCACTATACCTATATAAAAGAGTTATTTATTTTTTCATAATAAATTAAAAATTTTTGAAGTAAAGCGTGAATAGTCTTCCACATTTCTTGTAAAATAGAAGAAAATATACATCATAAATAAAAGTAAAATTTTCTTTTTATTATTTTAATTAATTATATTTTTTTAGGATTCGTTATTTCGTTTGGTATGAGATGTAACATGGGTATGGCCAAACTAGTCATAAAAAATACCACGGAAGGCGAGAATAACACTGTCAAGTTCAACTGGACGGTTGGCGTAGAAAGCGCCCTTGATTCGTCATTCTTCTGGGGTTACCTAGTAACGCAAGTGCCCGGTGGCTTCCTCGCATCGTTATATCCTGCTAACAGGATATTTGGCACAGCCATTGCGATATCTTCCTTTTTGAACTTATTGGTACCCGGGGCGCTGAAATTAGATCCTATCGTCGACATGTGTGTGCAAGTGTTGAAAGGACTAGTCGAAGTAAGTAAAGTTGAAAATTGAACAAAGTTAAAGAATAAAGTTGAAATATGTATATACGTATATATATATAATACAATATGTAAAAATATTCTTCCATAAAAAGTTTATTTTATGCAATTCTCTCAGCCATAATATATCTAGCATATTAAAAATTTATTCTCCAATTAATATCTTGAACCTTGTTTAATTAAAGAAGAACTGTTTTATTTAATAAAAATTATACGATTAATTGATGCTGAGACAGATGAAAAAATCACAGTTTTTTTAAACTTTTTCCACAATATTCTAATTATTCTCTTGTAATAATAGTCGACTTTTATTTTTTTAGGGTGTTACATATCCAGCATGTCATGGTATTTGGAAATATTGGGCACCACCTCTAGAGAGATCGCGTTTGGCCACATTAGCGTTTTGTGGATCATACGCCGCAATGGTGATAGGTATGCCGCTTTCTGGATACCTGAGTTCTTGGTTTGGCTGGACAGCATCGTTTTACTTCTACGGTAAATGGATTTCTTGGTCTCAATCGTGAGCATGCGTACAGAAAGAAATATTTTATGTTGTCGTAACAAATTACTGTAGGAGCAGCGTAGAAAGTTTAGTTTTGTTAAGAATATTACTTTTATTTAATCATAATGTATACATACAAATTGTTATAGTTTGCTATAGTAATACATTGAATCTTGTTTGCTGCAGCAGCAAAATACAATTGCTAAAATTAAGATGGTTCAGATTGTTTAGAAGCAAACGCAAACGTTTTCTACAATTAAATTTGTTCTACAAATAATTTTTTCTCATATTTGTTTTATTTTGGTAATAAAGAGATTCTTTAAAAAAAATTAAAGTGTCCAACAATTATAATGGCCATTATTCAATTGATTTCACATTGAGTATGTACGTAATAGCAATAACAATTCTTTACTCCGTGTGAACGACAAAACAAAATATTGATAGATGCATAAATTTTTAACGATAAATTATAGGTATCTGTGGGTTAATTTGGTATGGTGTCTGGTTGTGGTTGGCCTTTGAAAAGCCTTCGAAACACCCCTGTATCTCGGCTCGTGAGTTACGTTACATCGAAGATTCGCTCGGACAAGGGCAAGCGCAAGCACCCGTGCCCACACTGGCGACGACTCCCTGGCGCAAGTTTCTCACCTCGATGCCTGTATATGCCATCATTGTTGCTAATTTTTGTAGATCGTGGAACTTCTATCTGTTGGTACTCTTTCAACCGCGTTTCATGCACGAGGCTTTTGGCATGCCGCTTGTCGAGGTAAATATAAAATAATACCTAATATAATTTTTTGATAAAAAAAATTTATGAGCAAAGAAGTTTATTTAATATAATTTGTGGCGGCACTGATATTACCTAATATATGTATATATACGTTACTGTAATAAAAATTAATGCAAAGTAATACGCTACTTCACAATCTGTATGTATAAATTATTTTCTATGTTTCTTTAAACATTTCGACAGACCGGAGTCATTGGGTCGCTCCCGCATTTGCTAATGACGATGATTGTACCTTGCGGCGGTTTACTCGCGGATCATCTTCGTAAACGTGGCATCATGACAACGACAAATGTCAGGAAGGTTTTCAACTGCGGTGGTTTCGGTATGGAAGCACTCTTTTTCCTAGTGGTAGCCCATGCGACGACATCCAAGAATGGAACCGCGGCTACAGTCGCTCTCGCAATCGGCGTCATGTGCAGTGGTTTTGCCATCTCTGGTTTCAATGTCAATCATTTGGACATCGCGCCAAGATATGCTAGTATCTTAATGGGCATGTCCAACGGGATTGGCACCATCGCTGGTCTGCTGGTTCCTTTCTTCGTGGATAATATCACGGAGAAGAAGGTATGAATATAATTCGATAATTTTTTCGAGCGTCTTCCAGAATTTAATAGTTTTACTTACAAATTAAGATTAATATAAGTTTAAAAAATTCTATATGTAGGACCCACACAGCTGGCGGAACGTTTTCATCATAGCTGCATGTGTTCATTTTTTCGGAGTGACGTTCTATGCTATTTTTTGCTCTGGCGAATTGCAACCCTGGGCTGATCCGACTTTGGAAGAACAAAAGAGCTGGAATCCCATGGACGAATTTGGCCATACAAAACCGCCCGTTCCACCTCCACCGAAAACTATGCAATCTGAATTCATTGTAAATATGCTCAAATTATTAGTAATTACTTGCGATAAATATCACTTTGTCGCAGATTAATTGCCATTTAAATCATCGCTATCTTATCTTTAAACATCAAAATTGTTATACATTTTTTTAATGCATTATGGAATATGGTGCAAGATATCTATTATATGTATAATTATTTTTGAGATTAGAGAATGTTTATATATTTCTCTAAAATAAATAGTATTTATTACCTTTTTGCAATAAAAAAATAAGATTGAAAGACCATCTTTTTTCAGAAACAACCGTCCCGGGACGGAAGCGTCACTGACGACTGGAATACTTACGAACAGTCTCCGGCTGAAAATCACTTGTACGTACGTCAAGACAGTAAGGGTCCCGTGAACTACGGCTCGACAGAAACCAACAATCCATTTCGCTCGACGAATCCATTTGCTAGCGAAGTTAACACATCTTTTGTGCAACCACCGGCAACGGACGACTACGCGCATGACATCGTGCACAATCAGCAATGGAACTGAGAATGGTCAATAACCGGATAGAATAATTGGATATGAGAAAAGCAGACTGCCCCAAGGTTGTAGATTATTCGTATTATTATTAGCTGGCAATCCTATACTGGCTCTTCAGACATGCCGCATCTTCATTAACGAAACTCGCGAAATTCAGGCTAGTAAAAATCAAATTTCATGTTATGCAAATAATTTCGTTTCCCCTTGAAAGAATAAAGTCTTTAGAATCATTAATTTTTTTTCTTTAAAGAAAATTACTTTTAAGAAAAATTAATGGCAATTTCATCTAATTTAAAATAATATTACATTTACAACGATATTATCTTGCTTTGCTTAATCTTTAAGCAATAAAGATTGAAATCATCATTTTCTTATAATATCATAAACTTGTAACATTTTGAAAAGAAACCACAAAATATTATACTTTAATTGTAACTGCATAATAAATTAGAACAATTGTTTTTTAATATTAATAAAATTGTTTACTAATTGAATCTAATTGTGGCATGTCTGAAAGCTATATGTAAGTAAGATTCCAAGTAGTCACCATGACTCTGGATTTTACGAATCAAATGTTGAAAATATATTTCTAAGTTTGATGTGCAAAATCTTTGGTAAACATCAAAAAGGGGAAAAGAAGATATAATTTTTCTGTTGAGCGTAATACCTAAGAGTGCAGAGAATGGCGCTGTGAATAGCCACGCGAATAACTCGAAATGATGCAGGATCTATATTGTTAAATTAGCGATATTGATCGACAGATGAACCTTTATTTATTTACTTTGTCAAGAACATTCATAATACACTGCTTACAGCGGTGTGTGATAAACGATGATAGAAAGGGGGTACACGTGTATTCCGTCATTTTAAAAAACGACAATAAGTCACTCGTTACAAATGTGCCTAAAAATGGGTCTAAAGATCGTTTTTCTGGTTCAAAAAATTTAACCGGGAAAACTTTCTATCTCTATTCTTCATTTGTCTTCGTATACTTTTACTTTTGAAAGTAAAGAGAGAAACAACTAATCGAACTAAGGAAACTTGAAAATGCATTTTACGTAATATACAATTAACCGCGTTTGAACTTATATTTTTCAAACATTTATAGACTGAAACGTATCGTTAAGTCAAGCTTTGCAAATTGCAAACTGCGCAATAATCGACTGTCTTAACTCTTTCTGTGGGATATTGCAAAAAGAATATTCTCTTAATTTATAGAAAAATTAGAACACACATCAATAGCCTGTAAGAAATTCTTCAACTTTATAAAATTTTGAAAACTTTTTATCAAGATATATCATATCCGCATGCAATATTGGCAATATTGATTTCTTCTATAAAAAAGACTATTAATCACAAAATGCTTATCAGCGACGAGATCCACGTATACGTCGTAAAGTGACAATAATTCAAACCTTCGCGAGACAATAATTCTTTCCGTGGACAATATATAATTAATGGCGAGGTTTGAGAAAATGGTAATCGTGAAAGATCTCGGTGCGCGCGACATAGCTCAATCGCTGAAACTTTTAGGTATTCCCAATTTTTCGTGAGTGACGTGTTTAGTTATTTGCGCGAAATAATAGAAACATAGCAATAAAGGAGGAAAGTTACGCGATCAATAACGAATGACGTAAATCGCTTATCGAAAGTAAAGTTATACACAAAGAATATGCGACATGTTTACGCACACTCAGATACAGTATAATTCGATCTACCATAACGACGATATTGTCCATACAGCGTAGATATTCAAAAAGTATTTTTAAATACCCAATTAGACATGTATCTAAATTGAGAAACTTCCACTTTTCTAAATATTCCTTAATTTTCCGTATAATATAAATTATAATTTATTAATTGAATAAAACTGAAAAAAAATTTACAAGACCAAATATGGTATCATTAATAAAAATTCAGAAATCTTGACGAGTTATTTGGACATGAAAGAAATATATACCTATAAATACTCGCAAGATATCTATGTTGTATATATGTCATATAAAATTATGGATGTATGTAAAATTTGCAAAGAGACAGAAAGAAAAGATGAAAGCTAATTATTACTTTTTCATTGACATCCATTAGAAGCAAAGCGCGAATTATTCGGAAGTTGGTAAAAAGAAATAATCATAAATCGGTGCATATGCTCGTTCGCATCAAGTCGAATTCTTTAAATACAGAATTTTTTGCGTGAATTTTCTTAATATCCAAGATAAATTCAAAAACATTTGCGAAACGGTTTAACTTATGAAAGTATTGAAACGTATGAAAGTATTCGTAAGAAAGTGATAACAAAATGAAAGTACCGTAATAAAGTAAGATAGCTATTAAGTAGACAAATCATGAAAGTGAATATACAGAGATCAAAGTAAAATTGAGATATAATTAGAAAAAAGATATTATACATTATCTAGATGTATTTCATATATGTATATTATATACATATATATACACATGCAATCTATATGTATACGTATAGCATAGGATATGTTATACATATCTATATGTATAACATATACATATAGATTGCATGATATATATACGTGTATATATATAATATATATGTATATATATATACATATATATATATATATATATATATATATATATATGAAATACAAGATCTAGACAATGTATAATATCTTTTTCTAATTATATCTCAATTTTATACTTTGTATACATATAAATATATATGTATGTTCTTTATAATCGCGCATGTGTGCGATTAAAGGTAAAACGGGATGCATATACAAGGAAACACGGAAACAGTAAAAAAAACATGTGGTGTGTTGCGCTGGATTTTGCGGGCAAATGATACTGAAAATATTAGGCTCTCCAAACGGCTTAATTTCGATGAGTTTTATTTTTTTTATATCTGGATATACATATATAAAAAGAATATTCAATAACAGATGTTCTTGATGAACGAGACAATATTCTTTGTGAAAAATTAAAATTGTTTCTTTAGAAAAATGTTGAGACGTAAATACTTGAGGAAAAAGTTGAATTTAGATTGATTAAGAAAAGACATAATTTGAAATAGCAAATTTTAATTTTAAAGTAGAAATATTTGTATTCGCCAAACGCATCCACGAGTGATATCGAGTATTCAGTATTCCATAAACATGGAAAGATGTATCTTACTCGTAATCTTCGCGAAGAAACAGAAATAATTTTTAAATATTTACAATATAAAAATCAACAAAACTGAAATTAATAACCAATTTGAATGTCTAGTAATAAATCTAATTTGGTATGCATACGTGCATATATAAATAAGGAATATGATACAATATTTAGCTGATGTTCGACGTCGTGATATTAGCGTCGTTGAACACCCTATGCGTGTGTGTGAGTCTATGAATCGAATAATCTAGATTTTCCGTTATAGTCAAGGGAGATCCACAAAATTAGTCAATTTATGCGAGACTTTTTTAAAAATACAGACATACCGATGAAATCTATATACGTGTCGATATACATGTTATATTGTATCGGCAAATATCGTCTCGCATTCTTCGTCGGCAAATAAGATTATGTATAATACGTATAATAACATATGTCGTGTATTATTCGTTATCATGTTCTACGTTAATATATATCAGTTAGGCGTGACTATATATTAAATGCATTAATGATAACAATACGTGTAATGATGGATATATTTGAGAATACTCAATTGGTGCAATTTACTTGTTAAAAATAAGTCATAAAGAAGCGCGCTTCAAAGTATTAATTTTATCGGGCGCTTTACTGTACGACAATAATACTTAAATGAAAGCCTGAAGCACATGTTACAACAAAGCACCAGATTTAGAGTTTAATTATTTGTTTGCTAGTTGCGTGATTTTATTCACTAGGGATTTACGAATGCATTGGGGTGTTTGAGAATTAGGGCATCTGATGAACAAATTTCGACATCTTTAAAAAAACAATTTACTTTTTCGTAACATAATTATACATATATACATTATACATATAACATAATTATTAATAATTATAATCAAAATAGAATTGTGATAAATGATGTTATCAATAACTTTTGAATCATACGAGACGATTAAAAGAAAGGAATATGTCTTCTTTAGAGATATAAACTTTTAAGAGAAATATAAGCAAATTTTATTTTAATATTCAAATAGATACTACAACATACATATATAAGCACGTGCTTAAAGCAACAGAGCAAGATTCTAGAAGTAAAACATTAAATTTCTAAATAAACTTCTAATTGAATAGCAACTTTAAGCCAAAAGTCTAGTCCGCAATCGAGTTTTGATAAAAGAAAAAGTTATATCAGTTTTTGATGGAAAGCATTGCCTTGTTCACCATGCATGCGACTATTACCAAACACCCCGTATACGCAACAGTAATCTCACTTCGTAACATCAGTGACAATGCAGGACAAGATAATAAGCAGTCACGATTAGAACGCTCGTATTAATGATGAAATGAAATGACGATGCCGCAACGTGCATTTTTTTGCATGGTGCATCGACCGCGAGCGCTATGCTTTAAAAAAGACATACGATGATAGAAAGTCGGAAACACTTGCAACACACTTGAAATTAATGATATGCACGCGATAACTGTCATCTAACTGTTGTGTGCCGTCACTGCCACGCCGAGAGAAACGATTCGATGTTAGACTAATGTTGGGAAAAGAGCGGATCTGAAATCTGGGCGGCAGCGACAATTTACTTGAAAATAAAAAAGTGGGATACTTTCTCTCAGCGTAATCGGATACGAAATAATATTGTTATTTTTTTGTAGAAGACATAAAGTAAGAAAAAGATATAAGAAACAAGAGAGATAAAAGGTAAACGAAAGGTTCACGATTAAAATTGAAAAAGAATTTTTCCAATTTTGTGAAATATCTCTTATTATATGTACTGTTCTGAAACATTTGTCATATTTAACTGAGCTTAATTGAGCTACTCAATTGTTTTATTCTTTTTAGATACTCAGCTTTTTCTGACGTTTGCTTTTCCTTTTTCATACCATTTACAGTATATCAGTCCTAGTATTATATTCATTTATTTCTCTGTCTTATTTTTTATATATAAATTTTATTCTGCTATAATCGTGACTAATAATAATAACAATAATACGTAAGAAATAATATTACGTTAAGGGTATGTGTATAAACATATATTCATTATTATGTATCGCAGTAGTGACTGGCCTAACATTATTCATGACAACATTTGCTAAACCAGGAAAAGTTTCTGGACTTGAAATACTTATAAATCATAATTAATAATGAAGAAACCTAAGATAAGTTCTAATGCTGTTCGAACAATAATACTGATACTAATACATACTTATATACGTATAGCTCCAATAATAACTTGACAATAAATAAAGGAAACACGGGGTGGGCCGATATCAAGAATAGGTGCAAATCAGAATTTACTCGAAAAATTCAATTATATATGAGACACATATAGTTTATAAAAACGATCGTATTGTCGCGGGATCGTTAAATGAATTAGCGTAGCTTTATTTTCGGCACACCCTGTACCACTTTATAACAATTAGCTTTATGCTTTTTCGAGTGTTCCTGCACGGAATATAGAAGTGGGAAGCACACGAGAATGTGATGAAAGTATAACGAATCATTCAAGAATGTATTGCATTAAAATGTTTCCATATATTTTTGTGAAGAATGTGCTAGGCATTTTATCGTTTCACGAAAAATATACAAAAAATATATATGAATATAATTAAGACAAAGTAGATCGTATCATACAGAAATTATAATAGATAATATCAAATCTTTATGCAGACATTCGTGAAATGATTAAAATGACACGTACTGAGTTGCAAAAAGATACAAATACCGTAAATTTAATATCATATCTTTCTCCGATTCAGAATGATAAAGATAATGTGTGACTCATATGCAATTAGTAGGATTTCTCATTCTGAAAAGGAAATTAGATCTCTTAAACGATTTTTAATATATTTTTTGTAGGATAAAGACCAGATAACACTTAGATTCATTGTTAGTATTTTGTTCCCATTTATATGCATATAAATTATAATTTGCGAAAAATTTTGTTATTACGTCAAATTTAGAGCAAGATTTTGTGACTGAATTTTGAATAATTACAAAAATCAAAGACATTATATTTATCAATCTGGAGAAGGGCACAAGGGTTCGACAGTTTACGGTATGGAACCATTTCTATACTTACATATTTACACACACACACACACACACACACACACACACACACAAATATACTCCCACATGTATGTATAAATTTTTACGCAATAAGTACACTGCTGTATACATACTGGCATTCATAGTTCGCTATTTGTACATCCTCTGGAATGTAATTAAATGATATTAATTTACATATTTCGATTAAACCTGTTTACAAAAGTGTATCAATTATTATATTGACAATAATGACAAAAGTTGGTGAAAGAATGAAAGTAATATATTGTAAGTACAATATATAATGAATAGACAAAGTTTTAGTACATATATATATGTACATTGTAAACGATGAGAAATTCTCAAAGAATTTATACAATAACTGAGACTATTAATAGTTATTATGTATTTATTTCTTTACTTAAATATAACTGAATAATTAGTCAAATTTTGGTATTTATTCCATATATTGTTAAGTAAAAAAGAAAGAGATGTCTATACTAAATATTTTATTGCTTAATGTTATTTGTTGGATATTTTATGATGAGAATTTCACATCGAGAACAGAAAATATTAATTGATAAGAATGTTACATATTAAACTTATGCTGGCTTGATATAACAAGTATCAAGTATAGACTAGCAAATTCTCTTACTCGTTAAGACTTTTATTTGTGGAAATAAAAACTTGTAGTGTTATTTTATGTGCTCTCAAGTGATAATCCAAGGAGACTGTTTTGTGTCTCTCGCGCAATGTTTCATCATTCAGAAAAATAGTTCTCTCGCTGTTAAAAAATGATTACATCGCGTAATACATTTACTATAATCAAACGAAACAAGCGTTGCGAATAATAGCTTTGCATAATTTCGATATTCTCCGTTCAATCGTCATGATTCGCAGTGTATTTTACGCGCTAACAAATGTCGCATTTGCAGTGAATTTTCAATAATAAAGTTTTTACTTTCGCAAAATGTTTAATTATTGTAAGTTATGTTTTATTGTATACTAACTTGTTTTCTATTGTATGTTAACTGTTGTTTTTCAGTATGTCTCGCTGGTTGAGAAATACTGCGTTGAAACTTAGCAGACAATAATACAATGTTAGTTACACGTATATATATAAAAATATACAGATTTGTTAAGAATATTATAATTAGGATTACGTGTGAATCGAAAGAATCTGCTCTTCCGTGCTGTGCAAATACGAGTTTGGCATTAGTAATAGCGCGATCATGACTCACGTCTTCGTGTTCAGAATTCTCCAATGCAAATCCTTATAAACATCAATTAAAGTTAATAAAAATTTAATCAATTCTCTCCTTTTCTAATTCTAATTTTAGGAAACGATTGATGGAATTGATTAAATATCAATTGATTTTAATTAATATTTATGGAAATGGCACATAACAAAGCTAAATGTTTAGACAGATAAAACCGTAAACACATTGCAGTTTCTTTAGCGTGAATAAAAAAAAAGAGATTAATTTTGTTTGAAAATAAAATTAACTATTGAGTCATTGACAAATATTTATCGCTTATCCGTTATTATTATAATATCTAGTTCTTTTTATGAAAATAATTAAATATTTCGGAAATGTTTTGTAATAATTTTAATAAAAGGGATGATATGCGGATGATCTGCGGGACGATGCAAATACAAGAAAAATCTATTTTAATTTGTATTAGTAAGCTCTACTCTGTACCATGTGTGTAGCCGCATATTAGAGATTATTATTACACACGCCGATGCAATCTGGTTTGTTACTGATTATTGCGACGCTAATTATCATGTAAAATATGTATGTAACATTGTAATTTTCAGTGTATTATGTAATTAAAAAACGAGAGATAGTCTGGCGGCTATTGACAATAAATCGTAAGCCGATCTTTTCAAAACTCGTTCCTCCTGGATTATTGAATAAATTCGTGCTAGAAACATACGAATAATAAATGCACAACGATTATTGTATTATAAAAACTCGTAATTTATTTCATATTTCTCGATATATGTATACTGCATCTCTCGAGAAGAGTGATGAGGTATACAATCGCATTCATAAATAAAAAAGGAAGAATGTAGAATGAGGACGCTGCGGGCAAAAACTAACATCCGTTGAAACAAATCTTATTGATAATTATTTATCCTTGCTTAGCCTTGGAATAGCTATTAAACGTGTGACACGGATATACTCTCGTTTGCATTTGCTGCTGTCATAGAAATTGCTTGTCACCTGTTGCGCTGTCGTATTTACATATCATATATATACCGGTACATGAGTATAACACCGACATTATCGATACCATTTCTTTATAAGAAACAATTGTACAATTGCATAATAATTTCCTTTCTTTCATTACATTTACTCTGAAGCATTATATGTACAACAGCAAACATGGTTCGTAAGAGCAAATCAAGATATCTCTCTCTCTCTCTCTCTCTCTCTCTCTCTCTCTCTCTCTCTCTCTCAATTTTCCTTAAGCACAACGGTAATTCGCGTACACAGTAATCGTTAAACTGACGCTTGTAAGTGATTTCTTGAATTGCATTGTTTATGGTAACGTATCATTTATGCAGAAAGCATTTCCGTGAGAATTGACTCTCTAATTGTACGTCTCGTGGGATTAATTTATACGGGCGCGGAAAGATATTTTTATGATTTCTTAATATGCTCATAAACATTTGAAACAGTAAAGATTATGTAGACGACATTTCTAACAGATTGTATTTCAGCTTTTAAAATACAAAAATTAAATATTCATAGTGATTTTCGTAAAAGAACCTTTTTTAAATAATAATTTTCTTTTTTGAAAAGCAGTTTTTCAAATCAATTCTAAATAAACATAAATAAAAAGAACGATAAGTGATTATAAATAAAAAAAGTCTCTTCTGTTTTTAAAGAAATGAGATCATCAAATATCTCGATTTATAAACTCATCATTATTATTACTTTTTCATTCGATAAATTGTTTATTATATTTATATATTAAAATCTGATATACATATAAAGTTAAAATAAAGAAAAAATACGCGAAAAAGTGTATGCCGCATGTGCGCGTGCAACAGTTAGAAGCCCGGATGCGGATCGCTCGCGTGCACCATCGCAAGCGTACTCAATCAGCATTGCGTGTCACATATCGCGGCGCGCGGCGCGCGGCGGCCGGCGCGGCGCGTCACGTCGCACGCCGCGTCGCACGCGTACGTACGAGAGCACGCGGCGCGGCGCGAGCGGGAGAGAAGCCACTACGAAGAAGCGTAAGCGCCACCAAAGGTACACTCTTCGTTCACTTTCTAAATTCCCCCTCGCAGGCGGTATATATCCCCCGATGACTTTGCGTTTTGCAATCGTACGCACTGCGACGGGAATCACATCCGAGCGGATTTTTCGCGCGCTGCGTAAACCTGGATGTTATATCACAAACCACGGGATCACCGCAGGAGATGGCGGTCAGTGTCGTGAGATTCCTCGCTCTCCTTATGTTCTGCGCCTTGCTACAGTGCCGTAAGTACTAAGATTCGATATCGACTGCATCTCGGCTGTCAATTTCTTCCTTCGACTCTTTCCTCGTAAAAATATTCGATTCGCGGCATTTCGCGAGTGCGTATTGTTTACCGGTGCGATCGATATGTCGCTGATCGCCACTCGATCTGCAAGGAATGGCAGATAAAACATCTTAAAATTAAATTTCCTTTTACTTGCTTTCGCTACCCTTTATTGCCTGTATATTTCTATAAAATCAACATACGTGGTGGCCAATCAAAACCAAAGCGCCTGTTTAATCTTTTTTTTAAGTAATACATTGTCTTTTATCACATATTTTGAATAAAGAATAAAATATTTTTTATCTTTACAAAAAAGTTTTTTTTTAGATAAGAATCTTGTCGCTTTAAATTGTCGCTGGTTCATCTATACGTGTTTAGCTCTAATTTCTCCATTTCTTCACAAACTTTGCTTTTATTTTTGTTTTTTTTTCTTCTTATTTATTTATTATTTCTCACCTCTTCATTTACACTCATTTATACATATTTTAATATTTATTAGTTTTTCAATGTCTTATGTACATATTTAAATCGAGAAGATATAATATTATCTTGACACACACACACACACACACACACACACACATATACTTTCTCTTACAAGAGACGTTTTGTGCATGAGATTTAAAAAGAAATAAAAGTCACATCGGGAGAGTTCCGCTTTTATAATCTAACTTTCTTTCGAATAAAGCTATAATATCCGTTTACGGTAACCTTTACTTTCATTGAACTATTTTACTGACCGATGCAGTTGCAGTCTACAAACCGAATTGATTTCCATGTTGAATTATCTTGCCGCACAAAATATTATCGCGTTTATCAATCACATTTTGTTCCGTAATAATTGCATGCGATACGAATCTTAGGCGTGTAATTTTTATCTCAATCTAAATAATTACGTTGGCGCACTGACATTGGCGTTATTCGACTCGAGTTGGCAAAAACAATAAGGTTGCTAACCAAGAATGAAGAGAAGCGCGAGTGATGCATCACCTTGCATCTCCAACATTATAATTTATTTATAGCACCGGCGATAAACTAACAAGAAACATCGACCTTCACCCAATTTCGCATAACGGTCCGATAACTTGTAGTGCACGAGACACGTAATCGTTACACGGCTGATCGACTAACTGACAGTTAACGTAAGCGCGATACGCTTATAGAGTTGTTCGTTCATTCAGAAAATAGGAGTAAAGCAAAGAAATCGCGTTTTACATTTTCAGACTATGCAACGGCTCAAAACAAAAATTTCAGGGATCTTTTTAATAGCACATCCTGCGCCAGGCCGCCTTACACTTGTCCGCATCCGCAGATAGAATTCTATCTGTACACTAGGTATGTCTTCTATCGACTTTAATAATTTTCAACCGTTTTGACATCTAATCGCAACATCATTTTAATGATAACGTTTCGTATCAATCGATTGCATTCCGAAAAGCATGGATTAAAAGGAAGTACTCAACGTTGCAACTTTCAATTTCAAGATCACGATCATTTTATCTTGTACTGAAAGTGACCTCCTTTCGAGACTTACTCCTTTCTCCGGCATCTATAGTATCGTCTCGAATGCTCTCACTATCATCTATATTTACGTAGCAGACGTAACACATGTCGACGAATAATCACTCTCGCTAGTTATCTCGCTGTTTATCGTGATTTTCAGAGAAACGCAAAAAGATCCTGTGCTGTTAGATGTCCGTGATTTTAATTCTCTTTGGAATTCCAAGTTCAATAAAACGCATCCGACAAAGATTATCATTCATGGCTTTGGTGGTGGACGAAATTTAGTACCTAGTACAGATTTACGAGATGGTAAGATTAATATGGTCCCCTACATTTTTATATACTTGAATTGCATTTTTGTATACTTTTGTATACTACATCTCAAATTCGTGAGTGTGTATGTGTAACAAAATTTTTTATTTACTAATATCAAAAAGATAATTTTATTTAACATCCAAGTTAATTTTTCAAAATAAATTAAAATCATAATTTTATATACAAATAAAAATTTATTTATATTGACTGTTAAAATCGAATAATTAAATCTACAAATACAAATTAGAAAGCTGCAGTAATTAATAGACTTACATATGTAGATATAAAAGTAGAAAGAGACCGTATCAAAGGATAGCATTCAATCAAAATAGCCATACCACCACGTGTTCAATTTCAGCGTATTTCTCGCGAGGCGATTACAATATTATAATCGTGGATTACGGTTCGTTGGTACGCGAGCCCTGTCTCTCGCAGATCTCCTGGGGTCCGGATTTCTGCTCCCAGTGCATCGCTCAACTAGTGACTTACTTGAAAGATCACCCACTAGGCACGAGGGTAGAAAATATACACGTGCTTGGGTACAGCGTGGGTGCGCATATCGGTGGACTCATCGCAAATTATTTGCCCAATGACAAACTCGGAAGAATTACGGGTAATTGCTCGTATGCAGCCGTCTCGCAATTTAACCGACCAGGCATAATACGAGTTTTTTTTTCTACAGTTTAGCCTAATAGACTATAATGATAATTTTTCTTCTCATTCCTTGTACATTCTCTAAAATAATTCAAAAAGTAAGATTAACAACAAAACGCAAAATTGAAAAACATGCTTTTCAAATAACAGGAAATATCTTATCTCCTATCAAAATAGAGAATATACTTTTTACGATGCAGTTATGTCTCGAAAATTAATAATTCGTCATTAATCGAATAATTTGCATATTTTCCGTTCGTACGCGGTGCAGGCCTCGATCCAACGATATTTTTCTACATGAACGGCAACCGCTCGATGGATTTAGACGAAACGGATGCCCATTTTGTGGACGTAATTCATACAGGCGCTGGCATTTTGGGGCAATGGGGACCCAACGGTCACGCGGATTTCTACGTAAACGGTGGTTCGAGTCAGCCCGGGTGCGCCACTTCTTCTATACTCCGTAAGTAACGAGTGAAAATCAATCGCAGAAGCGAAATGCAATAATGAGAAAATTGCGGCCAACTCAACCTTGATTAGGAAAGACTATATATGTGATTCATACGCATACAAGTGCTGATAGATGTTTTTTTTCTTCTGGTGGTAAACTGAAACTTTCCTCCGTATACAGAAACGCTCTCGTGCGATCACACAAAAGTGACACCGTATTACATAGAATCAATCACGACAAAAAAAGGATTTTGGGCGGCCCCTTGCGCAAATCTATTCTCTTACCTGATCGGATGGTGCAACCCCAAGAGAGACGAGTATATTCTGATGGGGGAGGATACACCTCATACGTAAGTGAATTCGATATTATTATTATTATATTATTAGTCGACGTTCAATTAAAAAAAAAAAAAAAAAAAAAAAAAACGCGTTGAAATGTCAAGTGCACATAACGTTCACCAATGTCGAAAGAAATATTGATGCGTATATAGTATATGAATAATACATTAACAGAGCACGAGGCATCTTTTATCTGTCAACAAACGCACACAAACCGTACGCCCGAGGACTGCCCGTAAAAAGCCAGCGTCGGACAAGTCGGAAGCAATCGTCCTCCCGCCAGTATTAAGTCTATTAAAACAACTGATCAATATAATTATAGAATAGCGTGTACATGAATTAGTCATTTTAAGCTATATGCATTATTGCTAAAAGACTTTTTTTGTTTTTATGTCGTTACGTTTTCGACTTTGTACATTTTAATCGTTAGATCTCGTTATAATTTTCTTTCTCCTCTACTTCTAGTTTTTGATAAAATGTTGTGTTGGGTTGCGCGATGATTATTGTGAAGAGTAGAAATTATATACTTGGTACCGTTCATTGACACTCGATCGACGATCGATGAACTGGTGTAGTTGAAGTCTCGCGTGCTCAACACGTAACACTTTCACTCCCGCTCTTACGGCAAGCCTTATACATATTATTTATTTAAAGCCACATGTTAAGAGACGAGGTTGTCTCGATGTATTCAAACGGATCATCTTGTCATTTTTAATCACTCGATCATATATTCTAATTCGATCAAACGTGTCATTGAACATTGCAGTAAAACGAAGTGAGTTGCATCAAATGAGATAACTTTGCGCAACTATTTTGCGAATTTATTTTGAAAGAGAATTTTTTTGCGAGTCTAGATTCTATCTCATTAAAATTCATAATGTTATTTCGTAACGTATCTTCGTAGTAACATATTTCACAAAAGACATGATTATGTAATTTACTTATACTTAACGTCCTATGGTTCCAAAGTCCTCTTTTATTCCTGCGGTGTAAAGTTACTCTGTTAGTGCAATCTAATCGTTTTACAATAGTTGTATAATGTATTATTATTATTATTATTATTATTATTATTATTATTACGTAAATAATTATTGTAATTCATAATGTAATCAATTTGAACCTGTTGTTTAAAAACAGAAAATTGATTTTCTTCTTGTAAAGAGATCTTTACAATGCAAATATTGCTAAATTACATTTGTGCTTTATTTAGTTCACGACCTTTATTCGCCGCTCTATTTCAAAACAAATTTCCTCTTGGGGAAATGGGTGCAATTGCAACAATATTAAGGCCACTTATGTTAACAACAATATTTATTACATAATAATTATTACGGTATAGTAATAACTTCTATGGATTTACAATATACTGCCGCACTAAACCTTAATAGTATGTATAATATGCAATGAGATGATTACAAGTTGATACATCTTCGTTTCAAGTCGAAGGCTCCTCCGCAGCCTCGATTTTTCTTTCTCTTTTCCTGAAGGTAGTACCTTCGCGAGTTATTATGTATATTCTCTAGAGATATGATCTCTCCACGATCACGATGCTCGCGACGTCAATCTCCACACGCAAGTACACGTCATAGATACGTACATAGGCAAAGATGCATCCGGATTGTTTTAAATATCATCGACCCCAATCTCGATATTCGACGAGCATCGTTTGCGGCGTTCGTCGAGCATCATCTTGAAGATTTCGCGTTCAGCGATTTCACGTGAGCTAAAACCAAAGTATAATACGCGGTATTATACGGGTAAAAACGCGATAAACCGTAAAAGTGGACAATACTATCCCCTCTTTCGAAATTTAATTTGAGTGCAAGAATCTTTTTCGCATATAACAATAACCGACTACAATGTAGGTAATGAATAACACACAATCGCAGTTGTTCGATAATAAACTCTAAAAAAAGATTGATCGATCGTATTTAGTACGTTGAGGAATAATCGATAAATTTTTATAAAAACAAGATTCCATGAAAAGATCAAAACATTATATTATCTTAATAAGTCAAAAATTTGACAAACACATCCAGTTAGTTTCTCTCTTAAAATTTTTTTGCTTATTCAACTGACATTTTGATTTAACTAATAAAATCGTATAGTGCTGCGTTATCCTTGACATTTTTTTAGCTAACAACAAGAGAAAGTAGTTTTATCGGTAAGGCTTGTGATTATGTCACGAGACATACCAAATCATTGTCGAATCATCCATCGTTCGACTATTTTCACATGTAAAACAAAATTTACAGAGATAAAAACATATCATTTTCGATAAACTCGCCAATCGCATTTCGAGGACGTTATATTCAGACTAAACTACAGTTTTACAAATGCTCTTTTTACGTGTTCCGCTTTATTTACATCCTTTTATTTTTCGTGCGTACTACGTGCTGTTGCCCAACAATCGGCATATATATGTGCATGAACGGGGATTTAACGCTAACATATATCGATTATTTAAATTAAACGAAAATCCGTATTTCTTTCCCTTTTTCGCTCGTGATACACTCGAAACATTCGCAGGAGCATATAATTATTTTCACAAAATCACTCTCGCATTTTGTGATTTTTCCCGTTGAAATCAGCTCAAACGATCGGTGACAAAAAGTGTCGACATCTCTAAATTATTGATTTCAAATAATCGATATATATTTTCTTTTTTAAGGGAGGATGTTTGTGGAATCTTTATCGATTATATATTAGTTGCAATATATTTGTTCTGCTATTCTGGTCGTGCATATTTATTCTTTTTTTCTACGAGCCTGCTGGAAAGAATCGATCTTGATTTCCTGATGAATCGCGTGTTTCGCCCAATATGATCCTGAGATCAGCACGTATGATCTATCTATGATTATCACACTACACAGTGCACGTTGTTTGCCACGTTATATTCTCTCTCCCTCTCTCTCTCTCTCTCTCTCTCTCTCTTTTACCACCTCTAGTTAAATAAGTTACTCGTAAATGGTAATAATCGATATTAATGACGATGTCAATACAATGAGTGACACTGTTCATATAGGACGTACGTGGTGTGTGTTCTCCTTATCAAATCCATTCCTTTCGGCTGTACCTTTTATGCTTACTTCTCTTTTCCTTTCTTTCTCTTAACAACAATATCTATTTTTTTAATATGAAAAAGCACAGCCAAAAAGGAAATAGATCTATTTCTAAATTTTTAACTAAATTTTTAACTCGCGAGCAATGGCGTCGACTGGATCGCTGTTCCATTGGCGCCATCAATGGCGGAAATCGTTTCGTAAGCGATGAAATTACTTTGAAAGTGACGGAAGGACATTAAACTGTTACATACTTGCTCGATAATAGTAATAAATGCTCCATGCTTCCGATGCAAAATTGCAAACAAACTAACGTTTACACGGTTCGAAAATGCAATGGTAAAAATTAAGTGCACAGCTCCTTGTGTTTCACGATTCTGGAAACACATAACTACTGTTTTTTTTTCTTTCTTAAAAATAGATAGATTAAAACAAATTGGACGAAAGCACTTAATTTATTTGAAATAAAATTTAATATCTAATTGTTTTATTCAGGGATAATTTAAATTTTTAATTTCTTTATCACACTTCTCTATCTTAACTCTATTTCAATAATAAATAATTTTGCAATGCTCAATAAAATAAATCACAATTATTATATTCGGTATTGCAATTATTTCTTGGTCGACATCATTCTCACGGTTTTTCAACAATATGTATATTTCATGAATTCTCGTTAATATGTTCTAAGTACAATGCTGCTGCGTAATAATATGCCTCTCGCATATGCTATACCGGTACATTATCGTTTACAATAATTGGTCCTGAATAAACGATAGAACCAAATTCGGTAACACGACATTCGTGTATCGCACGAATGAGGGATTTACGATCGCACGGATCGCGATCTCGTTGTCGTATCGTGTGAGAAAATCAGCGACGCGCGACGAGTCACGATTTGCGATCATAAGATGAAAACTCTGGGGATTGAAAGTTTATTCCAAGGCCTGCGACACGTTAAAAGACAATAAAAGTAAATATAGTCTTTACACATCGTTATTCTAACACTCTAACCGCTTGATGATAAAATTTACGGTTTGCACGCGTGATACTATGCGGTGTCGTTTCCTGATAATCGATCTTCACCGATCGACCCGTTCCGGAGAAAATTTCTGATCGGCGATTATCTGCCACTTGACAATTTGCGAAATGGGATTTTGTTTGTTCAACAAGTGACGATATCAACGAGGGTCTCATTCCGTACGTGAAATTTCAACACTTGTTTTCTCGATCTTCCACTTCGAACTGACATTAGCCTAACGACAAAGCATATATACATATACATAGAATTGTCACCAATACATAATAATTGTGCAATTGATTGCAAAACATACAATCTGTATTTGTTAATTCAATTAAATTTTTACCATTGATTTTTAAAATGGAAAAAGTTTCAAAATAAATTATTAAAATTAAATATATGCAGCATTTTTTAAAATGTAAAACTAATTGAATAGAAATATATCTTAACGTTACGCTTCTGTTATTTTTCGGAAATGGATAACGATGTCGGTATACTTGGATTTCCGTAACACGGTACTCATTAATAGAAAAGGTATATAGGTCGCGACACATCAACTTCAAAACATCGGGAGACATAGGAAAAAGACCGAGGAATGTCTTCAACAGCGTATCCTTCATCAATTCTCTGCAAAAGAGAATTTCATTCTACAATAAATTATTATTTTAATCTTTACGTTGCAACGATAATAGATGTATAACGCGTAATTATAATCTTATATACACTGAGTAACGCTACGATACAAAGCTAAAATCAATAGATATCGCCAAATAGTCCATTCTCGCTGTCCTCGGTTATCATTAATATTATTATGATTATTATTATTTATTGTTATTATTATATATTATTAAGAGACACGATGTGTGTACGTGTGTGTCTGCGCGCGCGCGCGCACGTGCGTGTGTGGAGTGTGTGTGTGTGTGTGTGTGTAAAGCGTCCACATATATAGCCTTGTACCTAGAATGAGCATATCCTCTTACGCGCGTACGCGTGTCATATACGTATTATTGACAAAATTAATATTTACTCGATATTATTTGTTTATAAATAAGTAACAACAAAATTTATATCTGTAAATATATATTTAAAACTTAAGAAAGGATTTGAATAAAACATAATATAACATAAATTAAATATTAAAAGTTTTATATAAATTTAAAAAAATATATGTTCTTAAAGTCTAGGATTTCTGATCATCCTAAGTATATCAACTGGACGCTATACTGTTGCTATGCTCTTATTATTCCATCACTAGAATTCGATATCGCATATATAACTTCTCTCTCAGTTTATTAAAATTAAAATCGTACTAGTATATAATGTACATGTACATAAAAGAAGCGATGGTTAACCAACGAACTCATAATTTATGAAAAGATTCATGATTAACATATATTTACAAAGGTACATGTGCAATTTGAGTTAGAGAGATCTTGGAGCATCTCCTCTTTTCAAAATTAATTATTTTAACCAATCGCAAAAAATTTACATGTAAAACCCTTGTCGTGATTTTAAAATTTATTTTCAAATTAAACGGATTCTTTCATCAATAAATTAAGAATTGCAATAAAAGAATTAGAATATATTAAAAACTAGTATTTTTCTATACTATATATATATATCAAACGTAATGCTTGCTATTTGTATATTCCTTTTCCGTTCTTTCCGTTTCTGCAATTCAATCGCGTCTTTCCACACAGATATCTTGGAAGCATCCAATAATATCGGCATGAATTTGGTTTGCTACTTTAATTCGGCGACACTTTTAACTAACGGATCATTTAACGCAAGTCAGGATGAATAGGCCTGTTTGCGATTTATGACTAGAAATAGTATAACTCGCAACAGATATAACACACAACACACACATATGTGTGTGCGTGTGTGTGCGCGTGTGTGTATAATGGGTGACAGCGAGTAGAAAATTGCATAGTTACACGTAAAAGTTAACACGCGATTGCGTCAATATGCGATTTTTTCTTCGGAAAGCATGGTTTTGTTCAAGTACGGTTCATTGATCAAAACGTATCGCATTTGTCTACATAAGCCGAATAGGACTAGTAGAATGTACAATCAACATGTCTGCGACGAAAATTTCCCCAATAAATTATCTTATGTTCGTATTCAACATCTAATTGTCCAGCAAAGTTACACGCGTACATTTTACAAAATGTTTTACAACGAAATATAATTATAACACGCGCAAATAATAAAATAATAACGAATAACGATTTTTTTTTATACAACGCAATTTAATATAATGTGAAAATATAACAATAGAATATAAATTATATATAACGTCATATGTATAATAAACTCAACTCTTTGTTCATGTATTATGTTACTGTACGTACTTACTACGTGTAAAATATCACCAAATTACAAAATCGTGTCATTTTATTTAATTGTAGGAAGTCATTTACGCGAGTAATTGAATCTAAGTGCTTCGAATCAGTGTCTGATTATATTCTTAAATATCGAGCGACAATTCTCCTCGCGTGGTCATGTTATTTGTTTCATTTTAACGCATCGTGAAATTTCCGTACAAATTGGTGTATAATCCGAGTGGCTATATAACTATAGTACACAAAGGTACATCGCAGATTCAAGCATTGCTTCGCGCGTTGCACGAAAATACATCGTGCGCCGTTGTACTCGAAGATCAATACGGAAACGTCCACCGTTGTCCCTAAAAGGGACATTTTATGCACGTTTTACCAAGTCGCGCTTTGACCTTTCGAGTGCACGGAAGAGTTCAGTACACGACGTAATTTCGAATTCTTTTCGAAGCAATCTAAACTAAAGCGATGACTTGCGAGAAGAAGTAATACAAACGACGGTGCGCAATACATATTTGTAAAAAGGAGAAATCTGCACGCAAAGAGTAAAAATTCAAGACAGTAATACGTAAATAAAATATACCGAGCGTATATAAAATTATCTTTTTACAAGAGCGCAAAAGATGCCTGTACGATACAAACAATTTTATATTAATTTAATTTTAGCTTGTTTCGAGAGTTATAATTACGCATTTATTACAAATAGCTTTTGCTGTAACTTTTTTTATAACTGTAGCTTTGTCTTTCTTTTCCTTTTTACTGAGTCCCTTAATTTGCAATCCATATTTCGAAATTTTTTCCGAATCCAAATGATTCATTTATCACGTTATCATCCATTATTATCGGATCATTTCGCACACAGACACAACTGTGTCTTCACGTTCGCACCGTCGTCACTATATGTCTCGGAAGATTATGCCACTATTTTTACGGACAATACATATACTTCTTCGCAACATGAATGATGTATTTAAAAAGTATATATCACGGAAACTTGTGACCAAACAAACGAATCAAGATGGAAGCCTATCTAAGAGTTAATTTCTTGAAGCGACGATATTTTGCAAATCTTTAATAACATTTCTTTACTCGATTGATATATCTCAAAAAGGACGCGTTACTTGAAATCATTTAACGTTACATCTACAGAGAGAAGTATAATAGATATATGTATATATACAAGACACTACACTCTCCATGTTGGAACATATGTATTATTTTAATGTTAAATTTTTCTGATGGTTGGTATTTTTTATCGGTTATCATTATTAATATCTATTAAATATGGATTTGTTTTATCTTTCCCTATAGATTTTTTCTTTTTCTTCCCTCATTTCTCTACATCCCTCTCTATCTCTTTTACACTTTTCCGTTGCCTTTACTCTGGATCAATTATCCTGTAAAGAAAGGAGCGAATTGAAAGAATTCTTTATCATAAAACTTTTTAAAGTTGAGTATAGGCAAGACAAGACAAAATGCAAGAAGAAAATCGCTCGCGCTCATTATCCTGGAATTTTAATAAATTTAATTCGTATCTTATTGTTAAATTTAATTTTTCGGGATCTATTTGATTCTTAAGATCTTAAAGAGAAACATCGCCTTCTTGAATTATTAAAAAAATTTGTTGTTAAAAATAAAATTACTCTATATAAAAGATAAAATTTCTTGTATAATGGACTCCATTAATACTGACCGTCTTATATATCTTAATTGGAAAATCAATGTTCTTAATCCTTCTTATCTCCATCTTCGGGATCCTTCAGCGTATGCCACTGAGCGATCGGGCGCCTCGGAGACGCCAACATATCGGACCAATGTCTCAATTCCGTTCCACTCGCATTGTATCCCAAGACCACCTTTCCGATCGGTTCCGATGTGCCAATGCGATCATAGTCTACTACGGTGACGACGAGTTGCACTTTCTGAAAGTTTACATAAAATGTTGTCATCATTAAAATATTACATATTATTATCATCATCATTCTAATATATATTTTCATTAAAGGGTCAAGATATGCACAATATATGTATATATTAGCGCAAATAAAAAACACTTTAAGAAAATAAGTTTAAAATTATATGAATATTAAATAATGCATACCTATGAAAATTACATTAAAGATTTTAGACTGTACCGTTACTCAGGGACCATTCATATATTATGTAAGCATATATTTTGGCCATTTTTTATCCGCTCCCCTTCCCCCGTGTAAGCAAATGTCAGAATTTCTGAACCCCGCCCCCTCCCCCAATTACGGAGATTTTCCCAATTATGCGCTCAATGTAAAGTTAATATTTTCGTTTTTCATAACAGCAGACATGAAAAATCTTACGTAAAGATAGATTTTCCCAATTATGCTCAATGTAAAGTTAATATTTTCGTTTTTCATAACAGCAGACATGAAAAATCTTACGTAAAGATATGTACGATTCCCCCCTCCCCCCCCTCTCGCCCATGTAATTATTTGTCAGAATTTGACTACCTCTCCCCCTCTTCCAGTCATGCTTACGTATTATACGAGGACGGCCACTTATCAGCTAATGAATAAAATATATTTTTTACGTACCTGTATCTGCTCGAAGGGTACCTCGAAAGTGAATGATTCGTTGTAATACGGATTAAGAGTGCATTTCTTGATCGACGTTTTCTTCTTCTTCAATCTCTTTCCATTTTGCATTAACGCGATCTTAACGTAAGGATCTGAGAGGCCACCAACATCCATTTTCTTCAGATTTTTAGCTTCCAAAATAACCACTGTTAACTTTCCGGCCGTTGGTACGTATCTCAATGAAAAGCATATGTCACCCAGTTTATTATCCTGCAAGTAACAAAAATTTCTATTCAATACATGTTTTAATGTGCAATACAGTATTTATACAGTTGTTAATTATTATAACTAGACATTTCTTTTTACTTTAGCAAAGAAAAATACAAATTCATCAATTTATACATTCTATATCATATTTTTATATATCGCATTACATATTGCGTTATATTTTGTATTTACATAATTCTTCGATTGACTCACCTGTCCACCTTCACCTTCAACACTCTGTAATTCTCTCCATTCTTCAATCGTTTGCGCTAGATCTATTTGACAGAGCGGCACCTTCACTTCACCGATCTGATCGTGTTTTGAAAATCTATCAAAGTCGAAGATAGCAAAGACCAGAGTTTTATTCATAGCATCGGCATAAGGAACAGCCTGTACAAATGTGTTTATTAGTAAAAATGTTAGAACAAATTATTATGATAATTTTCACATTTAGATTTGAGATTTAAATAAATAAAAAAAAATTTTTCTAAAAAGTTTTCTAAAAATTGTACATGTTAAAATTATTTTATACATATATAAAATAAATATTCCTAAAAAATTTCTGGCGCATATATATAAATAATATACATATTACAATTTAAACTGACCTTAAACGTAAAAGTTTCGTTGAAGACTGGATTCAACGTCTTTCTATGAACTTTCGTCTCGAATTTTTTCTTTTTATCCGGTAATAAATACACTTTTACATATGGATCTGACGTGCCACCCATGTCCAATGCCGGCAATTCTTCCGCTTGTATTACTGTCACGGAGAGACTGTTCGAATTAAAGTCATATTCGAGCTGAAATCAAACACCAATTCATTTTAAATAATTTGCTTATTTGTTTTCTACTACGTAGTACGCAATTAGTGCCGACAAAAGAAGATGATTAAGAAGCAGTTTGTACCTTATACTGTAGTTTTCCAAGCTTAACTTCGCTCTGCTTACTCTCAGCTTCGTCCGGTTCTTCGGCATTGTCCGTCAATTCTTCCATATCCGGCTGGACCTTCACATATCGAAGTGGATTCCACGAGTGTAGAGTGTGTTTCTAATGTCTACATAAAGTCACGGCACACTGAATACATACCTTGTCCTTGTATGTGCTCCCCAAAAGCTGCACGGACTTTAGGTCCACCGCACCCTTTAATCCCTTCTTGCCATCTTTGGAACGTCGTTTGCGGCAACATCTTCGTATGCAGCAAAAGCAGATGCCGAGAACAATTACGCCTACCACTATATAGAAGAGAAACATAAAAATATGTACGTTATAATCAAATTTTATGAATTTTGCGTAATAATTGTATATTGCACAGATTTATTTGAAAGAAATACATTTTATTGAACAGGAAAAATATATAAATATGTATAAAATATAAGTAACTAATACATATAAAAATACACAAATAAATATTTTCAATAAGCGTACGACACGCACGAATATATCTATTTACAAAATAAAATATCTCTTTGTTATCTATCCTTTCTTTATATAATGCATTAAATTAGAAATAAATATTATTTCAACTATTTATTAAAGTTATATAATTATTACTTAATGCTATATGTATTTCATAAAATTTCTTTCGTTTTACGTAATAAAAATTGATCGTTATTGATTGATTGAGCTAGACTAGAAGTTGCCTTCTTTCAAAAGATATTTATCTATTACCTATTAAAATAGCAACAAGACCCCATGCCGGTATTCCAGTTTCTTCTACGATACTATCCTTGATTTGCTGAATTTCTCTTTCGATGGTCTTCTCTGTTGTTGTTTTTGCTGTTTTGGTTAAACTCACGTCCGTTGCTGGAAACAACAATAAGTTTTAAACTAACACACTTCGCAAAAAGAATTACTGCATAAAGTACATGTCTCTGCATTTAAAATCCAGCATCAATCTTACGTGCAAGCAATTGAATTTTAATTTTGCGACATGATGAAATTTTGGACTAAAATTGTTATTAGAATTATCTTGAATTAAAAAGAAAACGAAATAAAAGACTGCGATGTAATACTTACTGATACTTCTATCGTTGTTGTTGTTATTATTATCGGTACCAGAGAGAGATGCCTCCGATTCGGTTGGAACAATGCTCCATTGCATTTCTCCGTTTTTCGATTTAGAGACATTTGTGTCTCTTTTGACGATCGATGGCATTTTCTACTTGAAAAAGAGAACATTATTGTAGACCTATACCATACTTGGCAAGGTAGCTTATTCGACGTCGTTTTACATGATAAAATGTGATAATTCTTCCTACAATAACAATTCTCTACCTCTCGATAATTCAATAATTTGAAACAATTGAGCAATTTAATCTTGTTTTCCCGTGACTGTGATTGAATTAATCAGCGATATGAAGATTTAATGTAGCAACGATGCATAAGCATGACGCACACAGCCAACAACGGACACTGCTCGAGATTTCGTAATCTATGAGAGCGTTTCCGCGCACAGCAGTTCAAGCCGCATGCGTATCTGAAAAACTTAGCTTTGAGTACGCTGTACGATGAATGTCATTATTATAAGGAGAAAATGTAGCAATATAGGATATTTGTGCGCGACGCGCGTCACAGACGCGTACACCATTTATCGCGGGGAAAGTAAAAAATAGCATTGCGGTGTAAACAGTATAGCCATTCATAAAGGGTAATCGCAGCCCTTTATAATTACATCTTGACGCGACGAGATTTTTTTCCAAGAGAAAATTATTTCAAGAGACCTTACGTGGTCTTTTTTACTTGGCAGAGTTTTGGAAATAATTTTCATTATCGGAATTCTTTCCTGAATTATCATGTGTACATGATGATGATGCTGATAAACTTACAACAGATCTGTTGTTTAAACGTCTCGTCGAGACATGCATCGACAGAAAACAATGTCTCTGCGAAAAAGGTTGCCCGAGAGAAGGCTGAAAGGGGACAAACGCGCGTGGTATAAAAGCGATGCATTACCGCGCGCATGGCGATGTATTATCGAGCAGCGCGTAGGAGTTCGTCCGCACCAATCCATAACTGAACGACGGGCGAAAGAAATAAAGGGAGATGAGATGGGAAGTTACGATGAGAGGGACAAAATTGTGAGATTTCATGTGAAGAGCTACAAGTTAAAAAGTAAAGGACACAAGATTGAAATAAAACTCAAAATCAAATTGTATCCAAGTAAACTATAAAATATCTCGTAAGATGTTAACGCTTCGACTTTTCAACTTATTTTTCACACAAAATTACGGATATTAATTTATACAAAGAGAAACGTACATTTTATATAAAACGAAATGCAAATATCTATATTAAAATGAACGTATCTGCCAGAGGCAAATTATTTATCCTTAAATCTGTTTATCGATTTTTCTTTGCGTAAAACTTTAGGAAAAATTAATATTCGATTAAATGCTCTTAATTTCATTAGTTAAAAAAGCTGTCGTTAGAGGTAAATATAATATTAATTTTTAAAAAGACAACATTAAAATTTTTGATAATAAATTAACGTTAATCAATTCTCTTTTTATAATTTACTTTACAATTAATCTCTTCCTTTATTTTTTATCTCAAAAAATTTGCTTTACATTTCATAAATTCTAATACAGAATTGTAATGTAGAAAAATTTGTATTATTGTTTTTAAAAGAAAAAATGACTTCGCAAGAATATTAAAATTTATTTCAAGCGTGAAAGATTTATTTATCGTATGCTGCGCTCAAAACCTGTGTAAAAAGTTTAAAATATTTCCGCTACTTATTTCATAGTTAAAATCAATTCAACCAAATATCAAATTCATCATCCTTGGAAAATTTATCGTTATCAATAATGTGTCCTTTGCTTTGCATCTGAAAAGTATTTCTTTCTCTCTCTTTTTTCAGCACAAAGAAGCTCTTTGTAAAAGTGAACTTGAACAACTTTCTCCAATATAATCCGCTCTTTGATAAAAAAAAAAAATGTGAGAAAAATAATAATCAAAAATTTGTTATAAAATCCATCACATTTATAAATTCAAATCAGCCTACCTTCAGATAATTAAAAATTAAGGTTTTAGGTGATTAGACATTAAGTGAAATATCCGATGAAGCGACTCCATAGATGCGCGCGTGTGCGTAATCGAGAGTACATTTAAAGAGCAAATCAATACAACTTGATACTGATAAATATACAGCTGGCTAATTGTAAGTAATATCATTCGCAACCATTATACTCACATCTCAAATAAAATTAATTCCCACAAAGTAATACGCATATTGAAAAATATAATGTATATAATGTATAATATATGTAAATGTATAACCAAAATATAATGTATATAAAAATGTATTATATTACTATATAACTATATAATATATAAAGTATCGTAATATATTTCTCAGTTATATATAAAATAATATTGCATTTCCGTAAAATTAATACTAAAACTAGATATCGATAATAAAACTAAAAAGATATTATAAGTTTTATTCGCGTTGTGATAGAGCATAGCAACTTTTCTTATGATGTGTATGATGTAATAAGAGTTTGGAAAGTTTATATCGATTTAGTTAATGTCACGCACATGTCTTCCTGAAATAACCGATTCGATTGACAATGAGAGTAAACTCTTACGCGGTACACTTTCTCCTCTCTCGCATCTCTTCGCGTGTCAACGTCAACAGATGTTTTCCGTAAGTTATTGAAATAACACTTGTCACGCACTTAGCTCAGCAGATGTTTAAATGTTGAAAAAATATAAACATTTATTAAAACGGTAAAGTGTCATCTCGCAAATAACCACGTGTATATAAGTGCAATTTACAGTCAAGATGAAAACATCAATAAATTCTAAAGTGGCACTTGAGCACTTTCAATTTACGATAGAGATTTATTTAAACAAGTGGATAGATTTCTTAACTTAAACATTTGTTTAGAAATGTTACAATTCAATGTTTCATACCATTTGAAATGAGAATGCCTGGACGCTCTCTTCGCAACGTTTAACACAATAGATGTAATCAGATAAAAATGTATTTCTTACTTTTTATAATAGAGACTCGTGATGCATTTTTTCCAACATGTTTCTATAAAATTTATACAGTTAATTTTATAAATAAATATAAGGAAACAACAATAATTTCGAGCATGTCATTTCTTCCCGATTCTTAAAAGCATATGACTACAGATAATACAAACAAAAATACTAAGTGGCAAAAAAGCGAGAAATAGAGAACATTCATTTTTCTTCTCTAATATGATAAGTGTGATACACCATTAATACCCCTCGTCCGACTTTTCAAAATCGCTAATTAATCTATCAAAATCATTCCGCAGAGTCTTTAACAAAATCAACGCAGACCCTTTAAATAGTGTTTCGTTCATGTCTTCTGATTTACCGACATTCTGCGTTTTTAAAAACGCAGAAAAATCAGATGGTTCTTATAAAGAGAGAAATAATTAAGATATTGGTGAATTTACATAAAAAAATAAAACGACGACAATTGGTTATCAGAGTTTTGATAATGCTCAATAACGTATTAGCTACGACATACTATTAATATCGATAACAATTAATAATAATTTCAAACAAAGCCGATGTATGTATATGCATATATAGGCTTTTTTCCCCTTATTATTTGTTGTAATAATTAATTTAGATAAAAATTTAAATCTAAATATAAAAATCTGAGGCATCTGTCCCACTATTGAAATAAATTCTTCCATCTTTTATTTATCAGCACATTTACGACAACCTTTGAATATCTTTTTCTTCCGGATTAAAAGAATTTAAAAAGATTTATAAAATTTACTGTAATTTATTCAAATCATCGTAATTATTCAATGCTTCAAATGTTGCATATGGATTTGTATATATTCTGTGATATTTAGGAAAGAAACCGGAACCGAAAAGAACGATGACGAGAAAGACGAAGGGAGTATACTTGATTGACCGGAGGAGAAGAAGCGCATAACATTGAGAGACTCAGGAAACGATCATTTCACCTAGGCAAAAATATTTATCCTCTCCTAGAATTTGTTGAAATCTGTGTGATCCTCGGCGAATAGAAAATAAATCGTGCCACTACAAGATGGTAATCATTAAAGACACATTTATACGTTTCCCGAGCCGACCGGGGGTGGTTTCCGATTATATCCGCGCGAAGGGTAATCGATTTCTAATTTTACATCCGCCACAGGGGATTTATCCCGGTAAAAAAATGGCTAAATAGATTTTTGTTCGTCCGGAATGGTACTCACGACACGGAAGCTCTGTCGTCGGCTCTACACCCTCTCCTCTCTTTCCTCTCTCTTTCACTCTCTTCTCTCCTCGAGCTGCTTCCTCCCCTGGGCGTTACTCGGCGGCGGCCTCGACTCGGCCTATGTAACTATTTGCGGACTCGCGCGTATCGCGTATATCGGGCAATGGATACAAATGCAATTTTGTAGACCGGATTTATCTCTCGTGCTCGTATTACAAGCGCATCGCGCTGCGTCGTCCGCGCGGCGATGGCGGTAAACGGTCGAAAGGGCGAAAATCCTATTCTGTCGTACACCACGACGATCTCTCGTCGACGACGGCGACGACGACGACCACGACCACGACGTCGACGACGACAGTGAAACGGAGAGCCGAGTGCGCCTGACCGGTGCTGGCGAATGCGAATATGGCTGCCGACGTAAATCGATAAAACACGTTACGTTTTCCGGCGGCGTTTCGACGCGCCGCTCGGAGCCGACGCTCTGCGTTGTACCCTCGTTACCCCTCGCCCGCACCCCTGAACCTGGCTTCGGATCCCTGACGACGACGACGACGACGACGACGACGACGATAACGAGGGGCGAGCACCGACGACGTCATCAGCCGCGCGCGGATGTTTGACGTGAAACAGCTTCCCTTTTTTTTTGTCTTAAATATTACAGCGCTGTCCCAGCAATGACGGTACTTAATGGTTGATGACGTCAATAATTTTAACTAAAGATTGGTTTATTAATTTCTTATCGATACAATGACGTAACAGGAAAGGGTAAAGGGCATCCGAATGTTCGGAGAGATGAAGATTAATACAGACTATTCTTCCGATTACCTTACTTTATCTGCGGACTGATCTAGACGCAAGTTGTATATAATGGCATCAAATTTTCGATATACAGCTATTATTTTTAATTGTAATTTAATTTGCTGCATCAATTATGATTTATTTGTAATCATAAAAAAGATATTTTATATACGCAGATTATTTCCATATATGTGTTTAGAATTCAAAGATTCGTGGATCTCTATTGAATAAAGAATTAAATTGTGTGTCGGAAGCAGTTAATATTTTTTCGTATGTGCAGCAACAGTTTGATTTTCTTTCGTTGAGGAGGATATACCGAGTTTGTTGCCAAAACAGATCGAAGCGTAGTCACATTTTATAATACACACGTTACGAGACGTGTCTCGATGGAGCGCGCGCATGCCCGAATCGATCTATCGCAACAGAAATCTTTCGGTATATTTACTGTATACCTTTCTAATAAATTGAGTTACGCTCAAGCTAAATAATCTTTTCACGCTAAATAATATTTTCGGCGCTAAGAATGTAATATATAATGAGAAAAAAGAGAATTTGGAAAATAATTGCGGAAATAGAGTTCAAATAATAGCTCGGTGCAGAGCAATCTCGTTAATCTGCAATTTTGCGATACTATATGTAATAATCCTACTCATCTTTCCCGTTTACGAAACAAATAGTAATCTTCTTGTTAAGACAAAATTGATTTTAATGCAAACAGAAAATCTCATATTATATGTATACAAAACACATACAGATTTGATATTCTTACTATAAATATTATTAATATCTCGCACTTCAATGTATGTCTGACGAAAGATATGGTAATTTCTATTGCTTAAAATCCATTTCTGTCCGAAAGAGAACGCCATTCTGTCGCTATTAAAAATGCATCGTACATGGTATCGAATTCTGGAAATAATTTTGGCAACGATGCGCAGAAATATCGACCGCAAGCAAATGCGAATATAATCTAGAACCCGCGTATGAAGAAGCAACGATTCTTTCGGAGAGATTGAAACATTGTGATTGTAGGGAAATCGATTTGTAACATTATTCCATTCTCTCTCTTTCTCTCAAACATATATATATACATGACATACACATAACTGAGTGGACAGCTATACTATATAAAGTTTCGTAATGTCTATGTAAGTCTCTTTGCTTAAAATAGCAACGAATTGAAGAGAGCTGTACACATTATGTATGTTCTATAGATAGATAAAAAATTCGCACACGTAGCTCGCGCCAGCATAAAAAAAATATGTCAGTGACACGTTAACTCTACGATGCGATCTATTATGTGTATCCATTAGAAATTCACCAAGTCTCATTTTACACCCTAAATGCTCCATTCTTAATTGGATCACGATGAATATTTAATTTGAGCTAATTTGATTATGTAATTAAAATATTTGTCAACTGTAATTTATGTATTCTGACGGGGACGCTACAATATAATTATTAAAATATAAAAAATAATAAGTATTATAGCCATTTTTGTATGTTAAATTATTTTTATTTTACATTAATCAAGTATCTCTGTATTTTATATGAAAGACCATATATCATTTTGAAATTTTAAAATTTAAAATATAGAGTGCATACGTATACGTGTATATTAACAGTTTTCGAGGTGAATTACTGTAGGTCACCGACGACGATCTCAAATAACTACTATTACCATAGGAACGCTATTTACCATATGCAACTAACTTCGAGAGTCGATAATATCGATATCGCGTTTTCGTTTCGCGGCAGATTCGCTGTGGGTGGCGTGGGTGATACGATCGCGTGAAAGTACCTAATAAAACTGTCGTACAGCTGCGATATTGCACTGAACAGTAACATTTAGCTAAGCGTCGCTATGATCGCGCGGATCGCACTTGACGAATCTGTCGCCTTATCTCTCAAAAAACTATATCCGACGTCGAATTTTCCATCGGATCGACGCCATAAGACCTGAAAATGTCAAAATTCGCCACCGAATCGCGAATTAACGTCACATACAGTGTTCAACGTACGCGGTTCTTTAATTCTCACGTGTTGGAAACAGTGTTGAGACAGCTCGGCGAAATCGCAGATATTAATCCCTAATTATCGGTACATGCATAACCTACCTGGCGATGATCCTTCCTTGCACACGTACCCTGGCATTCCTGGCTAGAAAATATCCGGGCTAGAACAGCGGCTCCTTGTTCGCGGTGCTCCACGGAGCACATCAGGATCAGCTCCGGATCGCTAGTACTCCAACGCGGACGCTCCACACAAAGTATTCGTGATTCACATGTATTCCATCACTGCATAATTCCGTCACTGTATTCCTTCACTGCATTCCTTCACTGCATTCCGTCACTGCATTCCGTCACTGATGTATTCCTTCACTGCATTCCGTCACTGCATTCCGTCACTGTATTCCATCACTGCATTCCGTCACTGTATTCCATATATCACTGCATTCCGTCACTGCATTCCGTCACTGTATTCCATCACTGCAGTATTTCCATCGCGTACACACTGTATTCACACGCGAGATACTCTCTTAAACGATAACAATAGCGAGAGATACACATGGACGCGACCGCACCGTCCCGTGTCATCCCGTCGTGTGTCTAGAAGTTTCTAGAACCAACGTTTTGGGCGCGCAAATCACGCAATTGCGATCTTTGAGAAATTTCAAATTGAAGGAACCAATCACGTCGCAACGATCGGGCGTGTCTCATCTGCACTGCTATACTTAATGATGTGTTGTGCATGTATATATACATACATACAACCATCTGACGATGATAATGTAGATTTCGCAGTAATATTTTTACAAGTGATAATGCAGAGATCTTGTATTAACGACAATCGCTAAAAATAGGAGTGGCAACTTTCGAAGAATTGGACATGGGGGCATGTCAATCATTCTCGCGTATCTCGCCCCGACGATCTCCCCTCTGAAAGTTCTCCCCCTCTCCTACCCGCCCCTAAAGCTTATCAAATATTTGTAATTTGTAATTGAAACGTGCCTACGTTTGTCGCTTCGATGATGAATTTGACGCGATCCTCGTCAGTCCTATCGTACATTTTGTACAATCTCACGTGAATCGCGTGTATTATGGTGAAATGGCATAGTCGTGCCGATGTGCAGGAATATGCTGTCAGCATCGGGATAAGCAACGATCACGCTCGTCAGAAGACGTATCTTGTGTCGTTTTGGCTATGTCGTATTTGGTGAGTATATCTGATCTTTAATGCATAACGAAACGCGAGATAGATCGCTTCATATCCCTTGCGCTTTTTATCGTATTATGCTACATATTATAATTTTGCTCTTTGTTTACCCTCTGCTGTACCCTAAATCATTAGTCGACTGTCATAAGAAATGAAGGGTTGAAAGTACAGTCTGTATTTCTTTTTTTCTTTTTTTTTCTTTTTTTTTTTTTTTTTCAAGCAATGTGTTTCATGGTGTAAATACTGTAAATGCGTAAATGATGATTGATTTGTAACGGAATAAATTTTGCGAATTGTTGTGTTTTTGTTTTTAGAAAAATAAAGAATGGGTTGCGTCAATAGCAGAGCAGACGTTAATGATCTGCATCCCAATGTTTTTCAAGTAATGAATATAGACGATGACGGTAATTTCATCTCCCCTGGACGTTTGGAAGTCACCGAAGTAGACATTATATTGTATCAACGTAACAAACAGCCAATTAAATGGCCATTGCGCTGTTTGCGACGGTACGGATATGATCTGGAGGGACTCTTTAGTTTTGAATCAGGCAGACGCTGTTCCACAGGTCCTGGTATATATGCTTTCAAGTGTAGAAGAGCTGAAGAATTGTTTAATCTTGTACAGACAAAAATTCAGGTTAGTGTATCAATTATACGTTAATTTAACTAATATCAACATTAAAGTGTATGACGACAATATTGAAAGAAAATACTTTTTTATCAACAGGTACGCAACAACAGTGGAGATGATACGCTATCCAGAGACCTTCCAATCCCGTCGCATTCTGTTACATCAGTAGCAAATGTGGCAATACAAATGGAGCCTAATTATTTGGATCCAATATCATCTAGAAGTAACAATCGTACGAGTTCCAGATTTCCTTACAGCCAGCAAAACGGTATCCGAAGATTAAACAGTGTTGAAAGCAGTAGTAGCCCAATATCACCCCAAGGAACCTTGGGATCACCGTCACCATCCCCTGTGCTGCCACCACCGCCACCGATTTCTCAGCCTCATCCGTCCTCCCTGTATGTCAATGAGGAAGTTTTGTCATCTCTCCCCATTGTAATGGAGCGCAACAATAACAAAAGCCTTGGAAGGGCAGTACAAAGGTAAAAGATTTTGATTTGTTTAATCAAATAATGTAAAATATATACATCGGATAACACTGTTTCCTCGGTATTGTTATAGATTACCACATAACGCTTCTACGGTCAATAACGCGACGCCCAACAGTGGACCTGTGGAAACGGAATTGATACCCATTCAGTGTAGCACAGAAATAACCAATTATGACGCAACATCACCATTACCGACTGTAGCGCCCTATATGAACATAGACATCTGTAGCGAATCCAACCCAATCTCGCCAGTGCATAGTACTTCCGAGACGAATCAATTCAAGAAAGAAAGCAACGACACAGATGGATCTGAACACGCATATATGAACATAAGTCCTGGACAAGATCACACAGAAAATATTGCTGTTAGGGTGCGTCCGCCTCCATTGCTTGTCTTACATCCAGACGTGGAAGAAGGCTCCAGGCATTGCTACGCTAATCTAGAAGCAAACGAAATCGAAAGTCTGAGGAAGAGATTCTCTGGCACTTCGGTAGCTGAGAGGTCGCCCTTGGCACCTTCCACGCCAACGGGATGCCTGATCAGGGAGGTAAATTATGCAGTTTTGGATCTGGATAAGAAAGACGCACCAGCCGGCGTGTCGAACAATGCGGTAAACATTGCTCCTTCTCCTCCCGAATCTCCGAACAAGCCGCAGAAAGGCTACGCCACGATAGACTTCAACAAAACGGCTGCTCTCTCACACTCTGTTAATTCCAACCTCGTGAACGATAACGAAGGCTGCAGAAAAACTCGCCACAACTCTACGATAAGCGACCTGGTAGCTCCGTGCAGGCACAATTCAGTAAGTGATTAAGCGAGTGAAATATTTTATAGATTATATCGTATAACGATGTTCGTATAACGACTGTCTATCGTGTTCTTCGCTGTAGGAAGAGAAAAAAAGTTGGAAAAGATCGATTTAATTTTATCATGAGCTTCTGGAACTCATTCATGTCGTTTGATTACGCGTTAAACTTCCAAAGTTTCTCAGTACACTGGAGACTACATAGTAGTTGATATATATACCATGAGATATTCTAGTGTATGAATTTGTACACACACACATACACACAAGTTTTCAGTGCATTTTATCAGAGCAACAGTATTCAGACATAGTCTTTTTTCCAAGTCAGAAATAAGACAGCATAGAAAAAATGTTTTTATATGAGAAACGAGTAGATAAGTTTTTAGTACTTCATGCAAGCAAATTTTTTACATTTAGCATTTTACAAAGTAACACGGAGGAATTGGAAGCTAAAGTGCCCTAATCTTTTTCTGTAAATATCGTAGAAATTAATGTGGCTCAAGTGATCATAAGGAATACACAAAGTATGGTGTAATGTAAAGAAAGTATGATATAAATTACCATTGTATATGATAATGAGAATCATATAGAGATTTTTAAGTAATTGCTGTCATTTATATTCATTTATTATATTCATCACGAGAGCTAATAACAACAAAGTGTAAGTTTAATATGAATATTTATATAACTGGAGTAATCACTTAAAATAAAATTGTGGATGGCATATTCATTTAAATTTGATATGTATGACGTGAATAACTATTATAATACTAATATTAAAGACAGTGTTAAAACAGCTGATGCAGGAATTTATTGAGTTTCGAAGATTATTTATATATATATATATATATATATATAATCCGCTAAATATTGTTGATACATACATCAGCACAATATTATTGATTCAAATCAAAGACAACTTTCTCTTCTATAACAATTCTTAATCCAGTAATGAAATTACAATACATCCAAGATGTAAGTAATTAAAAATTTTTTTAATAATAAGTTTATGCACGTTGTCTAGTATGTTTATAATTGTTATAAAAAAAAGGATTTAAACCAAATATATCACATATTTATGTTACCAAAAGTATAATCTAAAAGACACATAGATGTATAAATATCTATAGAAAACAGAATATATGAATAATTAATTAGTAAATTTATCGATCATAAAAATATTTTCTGATACGTACGCGCATAAATATGGTCGCATTCGTGACCAAAGATATTAAAAGATCTGTAGAAAATATTGCGCGAATATATTAAATTATATATTATTTTCTATGTAACTTACATTTCAGTTTTCGTTAGCGAAAACTCAATTTATGCTGCTATTTCTGATAAATTTGACATGTAAGTCACACAAATACACATACAAATAACAAGTTTTGTTAAAAAAAAAAAGCGAATTTTCTTATAGAATAGACGAAATATTTGTATCATATTTCTTTGGAGACGTTGCATTTTAGATCGCGTTTTATAAATTTTTTGTGAGAATTTCTTAAGTATAATAAGGAATTGTTTAAGACAAGAATAAGATTACTGAGGTAATCGAAAATGCCAAATTTTACACAGACTTATTGTACAATTAACTTTACATGTAAATATATTATAGATATGCCTGTTTCCTTTTTGCTATTTCCCGCTTGCATGAAAAAAAGACTATTATTTGGCATGTATATATTTTTTATAGCAGAATTTTTATTATCATGTATAGTTTTCAATTATTTGAAAATTATTTGATACGAAAACGCTTCTACCGAACAGAAAATAATCTTACATATATATATATATTGGGAAAATGCATAACTCGATATTTTGGAATGAAAATTCTAATAACAGATTTTTAATATTGATAATTGTAGAATAAAAATCAGTATATTTAAGGTGACATTTAGGTCAAAAACATCTAAATATGTTGAAAACATTTTGGGAAATATTCATTATCTTATTGATATTAACGTATTCACTGCCATAAATATTTAGCAAGATAAAACAGATGTTGCATAGACTTTTGAGTCTCTTTGCAGCCCTTATTATTTAGGAAATAGTTGATTGATTGTAAAAAAAAAACAATAGAAAATAATTAAAATTTATATGATAATTGTCACGATGATTTAACGACATTAATCTAAAATATCTCACTTATTATTTATTGCATTAATATCATTCTTGATTACGAATTTTTAATATTAAATATTTTCACGAAATAACGAAGAAATATTTTTGAAAGACTGAATTGATTGATAATATAATAATATTTAGTAAATATATCAGAATATTTCATAAGCAGCTGTAAAAATACATTTTTTATTGTAAATTTTAAATATCTTTTAATGCAACGAATAATAAACGAGCTATTTCAGGCAATAACGCTAATGATTTGTATAATTTTTCCGCAATATGAATAGAATACTTTCTACAGGCTCTAAATAAATATAATCATTCAAAGAGATGTTAGAAATTGGTGGTGAATAAGTTAATACGAAATCTTTCTAGCTTTTTAAAATATTTTTTAAAATATTTTAATATTCTTTTAGTATTTCTTAAATCTCTAATATGAATATGCATCATTTCTACCAAAGTAATATAGAAGTATTGTAGCCTCTCCATTTTTTAAATAGCGAAAAGAATTCAGGCCTATACACTTTATTAGTAAATATCAGAAATGGGCAAAAGTCTCATTTTTTTCAACAATACGTAAAAATAACTTTCAGATTAAAAACTATATGAATAGACACTATACAGCAAATCAGAGTCAAACGCAGGTCTTGGCAGCTCAAAATAAAGTCTTCAATATATTTCTGTTAATATTTCTATTTTCTTATATATAATACAATCGCATTACTCCACTATATATTAAGAAGATGGGAATACTAACAGAAATGTATTGAAGACTTTATTTTTGAGCACCAAGATCTGCGTTTGACTCTGATTTGCCATACAGCGTCTATTCGTATCTTTTTTTTTTATTCAAATAACAAGGAATAAAAAACGACTATTTTTAATTTATTCGTTACGAATGTAATACTCATATTATTTATAGAAGTAATCATTATTCTTATACGAAGAAGAAATAATATTATATTATTTAACTAAATAAATAAAAAGTTGTTTAAATGATTACATGAACTATTATTTAAATACTGAATTTTGAAAAATTTATATAATATGAGCTCATCTCTGATATAATGCATAATGTTACGCACCATGTATAATGTTGTATGAAGAATTTTATATAATATCTATGCGCTTCAGTTGACAACCAATGTCAATATAGGAAACATACGATGAATAACAATGTGCAATGCTTGGCATAGATAAAAAAAAACTTTTGTATTCTATATATTATTATATACTTACAAAATCGAATGCGTGAATGTCTGCTAAAAAGAAATTTTTTTTTTCTAAAATGGATACATTATTGATTTTATTCGCGTATAATTTTGATTTTTGTTTTATTATGAAACATGTGCTATAATATTGTCATTAGCCATTAGTAAAACATTTAGTTTTAACAAAATTATCATCAGCGCTGGCTGTACGTTAAATATCGTGGATACGTGATTTAAGAATATACAATTATTTATCCAAAGAATATGTTTTTAAGATTACGTACTGCTTAAAATATTTTAGTTAGTTTAAGCAAAAATGTATAATCAAACTTTTTTTTGTTACAATATTTCTAGAGCCATACACAGTTTTGATAACGCAATCCATAACTTTTCCTTGTGCCAGAATTATTCATTACATTATTTGGTGATTTGATAAGATTAAGGATTTAAAAAAATTTAGGAACTGTAATTAAAGACTGTTATAATGAAAGAAAGTGTTATTGAAAGGAATGAGCGTGTGTGATCGAGCATTTCTGTAGAACATATTGTCCGTTCTACGAATACAAGTAGAATGTGCCAAAAAAAGATGCATAATTTGTTTTATAACGAGCTATTCAGAGCTTAAAGGTATAGTTTTAGGCTTTTTTGTGCTACATGCAAGTGTTCTTAAAATGAATACGACCGACAACAATGACAGTGTCATCACATCAATCTTGGATATGCAATATAGCAGCCTGTATTATATAAACACATACATCGAATTGAATGTGTATCGAAACGTGTGTGTATGTAAATTTGAATGCATGTATAAACATATGTATCATATATGCCATACCACACGCGCATACCTTAATTATAAGTAATAATATCATAAGAGCTTATCAGTAGGCCTCCAAAGGAAATGTGTCTCAGTGCTCGTGCAACAGTATTACATGCCTATCATTATCTTAATTTCTTCTAAATTTAGCAAATTCGTGATAAATGTAACTATGTAACTTTGTTGAAATGTGTTTAACATTGATAAATGTTACGCAAATCAATATTTTATGCGATCGATTCCGATCCATGTTGGCAAATGTTTTCGTAAATTTTAAATTTTGTACAGACAACTGCTGCAGCGTAAAATAAAATCTACATTAACTAGATCTACTGAAATGTCACGGCTATGAGACATGTTTTGTAATAGATGCATAATGAAATTCTATCGAAAGAAATCTACAGTTTGTACGTTTGTTCCCAATGCATGTAATGGAAAGAAGCCTATTATATGAAATATTATAGGGAAGACATATTTATTTTTATACAATGTCTCTTCTTGACTTTTAATCAATGAATTACATTACATGTACATTGTATGATCATTATATAATATTTATTTCATAATTCTAACACAGCCTTTCAGATATCATGTGATATACTTTGAGAAAAATATTTTAAAATCCATTTTTACTTAGCTGTACATACAAACATGCTCCCAGTCTACTCATTTTCGCTTCACTTCAGATTACGTGGATTTATAAAATATACACTAATATTATAAAAATCGTATTGTTTTATTTCATTCAAATAATCCCCGTTCAAATAATCATGACGATAACAAGTAAATTTGACTAAAACATTAATAATGTAATAATAATATCAAAATTATGCACGATGACAACAATAGTGAAAACAAAACGATAACGGCATTAACATTTATTTGTAAAATATATTTTGTATATTTTATGTAGAGAGTATATAGATGGTACGTTGCAATCTTTTGAATTAAGTGCACTTTGATCTACAGTCGGGATTTATAGCAACGATTTTATATTATACTTACAATATTGCACATATAATTTCTGCATACATCGAACGTGTACCGCGATATTGAGCAACAAGTATGATAATAATTGCACTTTCATGTCCATAGTAATATTTAGTGATCTTAAGCAAGCTGTCAGTTGAGGAAATCAATGGATTCCCTCAGGCGGCGAGTTGTCGACGTCTGGTCATTTCGTGATCGATCAAGAGCGAGATGTCGGGATGACGGCGCAGGAATAATGTCGTGCAATAATGCATAGTCTGACTGGGATCGGCGCCAGCCTTCAACAGTATCCTGACGGCGTTTACAAATCCGCTCTCGGCGGCAACTTGCAACGCCGTTAGACCGTCGATGTTGACCTTCTCCAATTGAGCCAAGGGTGAGGTGACCAGCAACGATACCGTCTGATGAAATCCTCTTGCTGATGCGAGGTGCAGCGGCGTGTTTCCGCCGGCGTCCTGCATGCCGGGATCCTCGCCATGCTCGAGCAACTTTGTCACCATATCAACATGATTTTTCCTCGACGCTATGTGCAACGGCGTTTCGCCGTACCGCGATGTAATGCCCGTCGGCGTGTGTTGTATCAACAATATCGCCGTGTTTAACGCACCGCATTCTAAACTCTCGTGCAAAGCGGTCTCTCCGCGATCGTTCTTCAATGCGGTATCCGCACCGGCGGCCAGAAGTGTACCAATCAGCGACTCGATGTCGGCCTTGTGATTGTTATCTGTAAGATAACGTGCCATTGAAGCTTTTGCAATTACAAATATCTTTTGATTGTAAAGGTGATTGAGAGTTAAATATCTTTTGAAAACTGACAACAACTTCAAAGAAACAGATAAATTATAGTAGAGAACTCAAGTAGATTTCGTTCAACAGAATTTAAATTTGAAGCTTATATACATAGTTACGAGGATAATGTAATAATAATTAAAAAGTTAATTAAAAGTGATGATGCCTCGACTGATTTTTGTCAAGGAAAAATCGATTTCAAGTGTCCAAAAAAATCCGCAATTTAAAGAAATCACTCTTAGTGAAAATTATTCTGCTCTATGTACAGACAATCATAATAGTCGTACCAAAGATAGTCGACGATGCTAAAATGTGCAAGGCACTTCGACCTTGATGATCCTTAGCATTAATCGGTCCCGCTCTCGCCAATAAGTCTAGCGTCTTCAGGGCCGCATCGAAATTATGGCCGAGAGATTTTAGCGACGTGTGAGCCAGTTGACGAGAGAGCACGTGCAACGCAGTTGATCCACTGCCGGCCTCTTTGACGCCCGGCGGACAGTTGTATTTCAAGAGGTCCTCCACGAATTTCAACACGTTGCCCGGTCCGCCATTCAGGATTACTCTGTGAAGTGCCGTTTCACCCCGCGGCGAACGCACAGCTGGGTCGCACCCGTTTGCTAGTAGCGCGCTGTAATCCGGCGATTGAAAAAATACAATATAAAAAATTTATTTGTACGTACGTGTATTTTACTATTATTACATAGTAAAAATAAAGATAAAATTTTTTAAGAAACAATTTTTTACCAATACGTTACAATATTCTGAACACGATAACATCACGGAAATAAAAATAGCTCTGTGCCGCAAACATAAAGTTATTTTTAACTTTTACGTCAATTCATCAAAGAGAATTTTTGTATCGAAGATCGATATCGCGTTTTAAGCTAATTTTTTTCTTTAACATTACGGAAAAATACTTTCCATTAAAAATAAATTTATAATAAATCTATAAGGTAATCTGTAAATCTGTACGTCATTCTTAAAAATCTTAAATAACTTTTCGGTATAAATTTCTGACGTAAATACATAATGCCACTCTGAAGATCAAGTAAAACAATTATAAAAACAATAAATTAAATATTCAAGAGATAATATTACGATGACTCGTGAATGAAATCAAAGCTCTAAATTGATATAGATTGCAAGGAGAAAGTTATACAAAGAAATGTGATATCTAAACGATTGCGTTCTAAAAGATGTACCTCAGCACAGGCAGGCAATGATTCGTTGCTGCCATCAATAGGGGTGGATCACCCGACACGTTCCAATCCGGTTCGTCCAGGTTTTGCACGCAACCGTTGGCGATCAACACCGAGACTTGCTTGGCGTTTCCCGATCGTACGGCATCATAAAACGATTCGTCATCCTGCCAACCGATAATTTCTCCTTCAAATTCATCCTGTTTTTCATCCGTATCCAGGCAAATTTCCGCCAGATTTTCGCAACAAACTCGCGCGTCGTCCATCCCGTAATCTCGAAATTTCTTCCCGACGTGAACACTACTGTTGCACGCGTATCCTTCCTGATGCATTTGTATCTCTAGCACGCTCCGATTCTTTTCTTCATCTTTGCAGGCCTGGTCCCTTTTCGCATTGCATGTGCAGGTTGCACTTTTCGGCGTGGTATTATCCGCCAATAAAACCGATTCTTTCTCACGCCTCTCATTATCTTCGAGGGACAACTCCTCGTTTTTGGATTTATTCACTCGCAAAATATCATTTACCGAATTTACAGAGATACTTTCTTCATCCCTATTTTCCTTCTCTTTTTCGAACACTCCCAGATCCCCGTCGAATGATTCGTCAGGCAGAACGTTGACTTCCACGGAAGAGAGCGTCGATTCCTCGAAAGACGAATCACCTGTTGCGAGACTGGCTCGAGATGACGACGAGATCTCCTCCATGTCGGGGACAGTGTTCGGGTCGTCCAGTTCTCGGCCGTTGAAAAGTATTTTCGCAGCGTCGTGCGAACTCGTTGCTTTCTGCTGCAGCTCACGTTCCGCCGTCATTTCGTACGCGGAAGTCATCGCGCCCGCACGCTTAATTGGCCCTGATTATTTGTTCACGCAATTGGCTCGACACTCTCGACGCGGAACGATACCACAGGCAAATGCGTGTAATTGATCTGCTGCGTGCTGCAAGAAATTTCGCTTTCGCCACTCGGACGCTAGCAATATTACACCTACCTATACAATAAAAACCCGCGCTATAATTAAAAAAAAAAAAAAGCGCAACGGAAGGTCAACGAAACTTGATGTACGGATCAAACAGAACCGAAGCGAGTAAGAATCGTCGGCGTTTTACGACGCTTTACCACGCTTTACTAAAAACGTGCCTCTACCGGCTGTCTTGCTGTCTACACCGGCTTCTCCCCTTTTTCTTCCTCTTCTTCTTCGGCTCCCTCCACTTCACCATACTACCATTCTGTGTATCGCGTTGTAGCGCGTTTCGTCTTCATTCGTTGTGCCTACCCCACTTTACCAGTCTGCGTGCTCCTTAATCCTCCTCAAACGAGCCATGGGTGCCGAACCATTGGAATTTGGAGCGATAATACAGTCGAATATATTTGTACTCTTGTAAATGTATAAAAGTTACATTTTTCAAAATTAGAAAAGCACTATATATATTAAAATCAAAATATAATATTTTTATAATTATATCCTACAAAATTGTGTCTAATATAATTATCAAGTAATTATGGCAAAGTGCTTATACTTAGCACATGAAGTCAAAGTCATTCACTTTTGCGTCACTTTTCGCTCTTTCATTATCATTTTAAATAGTATTCAGTATACCTAAATAATATATATTGTGCATATACTTCTCTCTCTCTCTCTCTCTCTCTCTCTCTCTCTCTCTCTCTCTCTCTCTCCTCATGCATGTAATTTATCACTTTAGTTAATTCGACAACACGAATCTTAATCAATCTAGGAGTAAAGAAGAGACATGTAATATTTTTAACAATTAACGAAAATATAATTAGTTCACATTTCTTACTTTACCAGTTAATTTTTAATTCAGCTTCTCTCGCACGACACAATGTGATTGAAAATATCAGCAAATCGGATCACACCGTTCGCTACGCCTATTAACTCGCTACCGTCGAGTACTGATAATACAAAAAATTTCAAGAGAGAAGAAAACTCGACGACGCATCGCGTGATCACGATCAAACACACAGATGTATGCATATACGAACGGGAAGAAGGGCTGTATATATATGCATGCGTTTTATTGTGGAAACTTGGGATTTCAACGAAACGATGGACATTATAATTGAATGTACGATATGATCCCATACGTCTAAAAACTTTATTGAATATCAGTTTACAGTAACTTAAATGCGAGCGATGAATATGACAAAGAACTAAAATCGCGTAACCGGTAAAGTAACAATGTATTTTCTTTCACATAGAATCCTTTATTTATTATATAAAGTTACGATATCAGTTACAAAAAAAAAAAAAAAACAGGTGAGTCTTATATATATGCTAAATAATAAACCAATTTGCAATCGATTGAACTGTTAAAGGGATTGTAGCTTTCTAATTAAATCAAACGAATCTTCGATAAATGTCAAATCCCATAAATGTTAAATCCACTGAAACACAGAAACTCACAATATTATTACATTCATTCAACGATAATAACAATTATATTAATTTATTTGTTATATGTACCTACCATTTTATCTGCTTCGTGATCTGGAAACCGATCGAGATTTTGACTTGCTTCGATCTTTGGAAACAGACTTCCGTTGTTTCTTGCGATATTTATCCTTGGCGCAAACGCTCCTGTTACGAGATGGACTGCGCCGTGATGAGCGCGAACGCGAACGATTACTGCGAGATCTTGAGCGGGAACGTGAGCGCGATCGTGATCGCGATCGCGATCGCGATCGTGATCTTGATTTGGACTTTGATCGCGAACGGGACCACCTAAAGTAAAAGTCATAATAAATAAATGTTAAAAAAATATAGTCATACATATATTTTGCCTATCTATTACTACAGACCATTAATATAAGACATGATTATTAAAACTGGTGATTATTCGATTTTTATCGATTTTTATATAGTACATATCCCCAAAATTATTGACAGCAATCCTTTATCATTAATAATGATAAAACCTGATCCTGTTAAATCTTTAATTTACATATAATTATCTGTTAAATGTACCACAAGTTTATCATCTTTTACAAACATTGAAAATATAATATTTAGATATTGAGTTCTGTCTCTCTGAAATGTATATTAGTATAACAAATAATTATTATCCCAACTCTGATGTATATAAACTCATTAATTTTTAAACTTTACATGTTCATTATAAAAAGCTTTATTTAATATCTCTGAGCAAATCCTATTTGACAAGATTGTTCAATTGTTTTCATAAAGAAATGCAATTATCTTTATAAATCAAATCATGCAAACTTGCTTACACATAATAATGTAACATGAATTCGTTTATGTTGAAAATTCATTCAGCCACTGTAAATATTAATTTTTATAGAATATATACTTGACTGTTCTACATATGTACCATCTTTCTCGGCTGTGCTTATAGTAGACAATTGTGGATTGCGTGCGCGATAGCTGCACCGAGAAGGGAGAGCGGATGAGCCCTTTATGCAGATGAAATTACGAGAGGGTCCGAAATGAACGGATGAGGAGTGGCTAAAGACAAGACCGCTGAAAGTTCGTCTCTCAGCAATCGTTAAGTATTACGACGATGACGACAACGACGACAACGACGATGATGACGATGAAGACGACGCGATGACGACGCAACGACGACTACGACGGGAACGACGATTAGGCAGAAATCACGGAATCAGCTGAATGAAGAACGCCAGAAGTGCCAGACGTGCATAAATTCTCGATTTAGGGTTATGGTCTGTGGTCAGCGGATTGGTATCGTAGCAGTGCGCAGAACTAGCCACCCCGTGTCCGGTCGGTCGCGGCCCATGTTTGCCGCGTTTTCTCGCCCGCAGAGTGTGCAGAGGGAAACCCAAAGTAGATGCGGAGTGCTCTACGCTGTAACTACGACGCGCGGTGTGTCACAAACGTGAACCCAAGGCGAATCTCGCGCGACAATGTCAGGTAGCAACACACATTTCACATGCGTGTGCTGTATGTTCAGCCGCAACTCCTATAAATAACGGGCAATATTACGTTGGCCGCTTTACAAACTTACACTTTCTTTATGTTTGTAGAAATTTCTTTTCTTTTCTTTTCTTTCATTACCAATTATGTCTAAGTAGCGTTTTAATCACCATTGCTTTAATAATGGCACCTATACAATCTTTTTCATAAATGCAAAGTGAAAGTGGCACAATGATTGCAATATTGTGACAGTCAATTAATCAAATAAATTTCATATAACTCAACAGAGAAATCATACTGTATACATTAAATATTTATGTACTGTATACATTAAATATTTATGTCCTATTAAATATTATTGTAAATATCAAATAAAGAATGCCTAATTAAAGGCCTAAATTCAAATGTGGTTAATTCATACAAAATAGTCTTTGCAATTGTAAACATGAACTCTCATCTTGGTTCACACATAAAGCTATTTTTCTGAAACAACTCTTTTTGCAAGATAACTCTCCATATATTGTATATGGAAATACAGTAACTTGCATATACGCAATATTATTCAATACACAGTTTTTTAAACATACATACATTAACACATATATACATTTTGATGAATAAATCAAATATATATATATATATATATATATATATAAATTTGATTTTTTAATTCAAATTTTAGATATTTTTGTTCTTTTATATATATCAAAATAAATATAAAACTATTAATCTCAATAAAAAGAAAACTTCCACAACTTACTTCCTTCTACGAGAACTTCTATGACGGTGACAATCTCTTGCATAATGGCCTCTTTCACCACATTCGTAACATTTATCTTCTGGATGAAAAGGTCTTCCAATGCCTCTTCTAGAGAAGCCTCTGTCTCTTAATTTCTTTCCATTTGACAATTCCACGCGAACGCGTCTTCCACATATAATACGACCGTCCACTCCTCTCACAGCATCCTCTGCATCTCTAGGATCTTCAAATTCAACAAAAGCAAATCCAGGAGGGTTTCTGGCAACCCAGACATTACGCAAAGGTCCGTAGTAGGAAAATACATCCTCCAATTGTTGCTTACTAGCACTGCTCCCTAAATCTCCCACATAAACCTTGCCATCCGAGGAGGGATAACGCGATACCTAATAAACGTAACAAAAAAAATATATATATAAGTAAAATATCAATATATGTATATAAATAAAATGATAAGTTCACGAAATCTTTTTCTCATCTCTGTATATTTAACTTGAAGAAAAACCATTCATAATCATTATATATCTAAAAATTTTTTCCAAAATAACATTAAAATAAAAAAATACGGGATTCTCCAAATTGGCGATGAAGCGATAATGGTTTTATTACTTCCGAAACACATTGAGACAATGTTGAAACAATAACAACCCGGATCTTTATTATCTTACCTTGCTCATTTTATTATTAGCCTTGTGGAGTTCTTGTGGATGCAGATGTCTACAAAGGAACCAAACGGCAGATGTCTAGAAAGAACTAATGGATCGAAACTACAGCATATTTTCCGGAAATATAACGGCGATGGCCAGGCGAGCAGCAGCTTTCCGCGCACGTTATCGATTCAGGGAGAAACAAATTACAAATTGATTAGAAGTCCCACTGTAAGACCAATTTTTCAATAGCGCTTCCACCACGATATTTACGATAATGTCCACCAATGCCGAGAGCCGAGTCGGCCGAGAATATTTTCTACGTGCCCCGGTTAACTTATTTGACCAATCACCAACGAGGAGATTTATGCAGCTCACATCACAGTGCCCATTTGGAGCATATTGATGCACGAGGTCACTCTCGAGAGACGAGACGACGAGAGAGTGCAGAGATGATACACCAACGACACGCGCGTTCAGTTACCGAGTTAAGGAGTTAAAGTTTCGTAATTATCAACCGGGATAACTAAAGAACATTAACATTATCGATTGCTTTGTGACAAAAATTATAATTACTATATATAAAAGAAAAGAAATTATATATAACACAAAATAAAGATAAAAGTTATCCAGTTTCTAAAAATTATTGTAAACATTATTTATTATTTATTATAAAAATATGTAAAAAATATAATTTTTATTTAAAAAATCCTATTATCGCTAATATATATTAGAAGGCGACTATAACTTGGACTAATCGTATTGCATATTTGTGTTAATTGATGCCTGAAAGAAGCATATGATAATTACGTTGTCGACGATTATTGATCATAATTGCAGAGTATATATTTGATGCTACATGGTTGTCATAGCAACGACGCGATGAAATATTTTGACGTGCACTTTCGATAATTATCGTGCTAAACGTGATGTCGGATTGCCGTACATTACAAATCACTCGAGCAGAACAATAATCCAAGAATGAGTACAATTTTTGGCGGTGGCGACGCTAATGAAAATATTATTTTTGACATATCCAAAAATGAGAGAAAATTAAATGAAGAGTTTAAAATACTTCAGCGAAAACTGAAAACAAAGTGGAAGTTTATCGAGTAAGCTAAAATTTCCTGTAACGAATAACTCAACATTATTTAATATAATAATATAAATTGTATCAATCAACATTTCTGTTAAGTTGAAAAACTTATGCTCAGAAAATATATTTTAGGAACAATGAAGTAATATCGCAAGAATTATTGGCGAACGCCAAGATCCTAGTATTGCCAGGACCACTAAGCAAATTTACGGAGCTCGAAATGAATTCCATTAGAACTTTCTTAAATTCTGGTGGCAATGTTCTTGTCACACTTGGAGAAGGTGGTGAAAATAAATCCAATACGAACATTAATTTTTTGCTAGAAGAATTTGGTATAATGGTAAACAATGGTACGTAAAATATTCACACCCAGAGAAAAAAAATGACTTAGCTCTTTTTTTTTATCAAATTCCTTTCTGTGTACAGAAATTTACATTTTAATTTTTATATTTGCAGATAGCGTAGCTCGCATGAGTTATAGCCAAACAATGCATCCCAAAGAATCTTTAATCTCTCAAGGTTTATCAAACAAATCTATCTTTCTGAAGAATCACGATGAATACATGTAAGATGATCTTATAATATTCAACTTGTGGTATTAACTCTAAATATTAATAAATGATTTATTTTAGTGGTATGAAATTTTTGTATCCTTATGGTGCAACGTTAAACGTAGTGCAACCATCTGTTGTCGCTTTATCCAGTGGCTCAATCGCTATTCCAATGAACAGGCCAATTTGTGCGTATCATTGTGTAAAAAGCAGTAATGGCAAGCTCGTTGTATTAGGTTCATCTAGAATGTTGACAGATACTTATATAGAAAAGGAGAGCAATGATGCATTACGGGAAATGATTTTTGACTTTTTTGAATTAAATGTCACAGAAACGGTGGATCTTCATATGGATGATGTAGAAGTAAGTTATTTTTATCACAGGCCATGGTTAACTTTTTACTAAATATATAAATTGTAAAGATTAAGATTTCTTACCAAATTTTCCTCTACACAAACTATGATTGACAAGTTATATATCTTTATGTGTGCAGTTTTGGGAGTACAACTTTGTACCAGATATAACACAACAGGCTGACAATCCGAAAGTTTGCACACAAGATTTAGATAATATTGACATACCTCGCGAATACACTAAATTGTTTAAACATCATTTTTATTCTATAAATTTAAACATGGTACCGGCATGCATAAAAGCATATGAGGCTTTAGGAGTAAAACACGAACCACTCACTTTGATTCCACCTCATTTTGAAGCACCTTTACCTCCCACGCAAGCGTCGGTAAATATCTATATTTCTGAATTTGTTTCATGAATTTATTTTCTAATTTATGATTATGCTTTAGATAAACTCGGTTAAATGAACTCGAAATAATTCTACAGGTATTTCCTCCGAGCTTCCAAGAGTTACCTCCACCTGCTTTGGAGCTGTTTGATCTAGATGAGGCTTTCAGTTCTGATTTATTAAAATTATCACAGCTTACTAATAAATATATGGCAACGAAGGAGCTATCAAATGACAAGGAATTAGATCACTATATCATGGAATTTGGAAGTATAATAAGGATAAACAATTCCGACATACACTCTGCTAAACAAGTATTGAATTCTGTTTTTCAAAAAATCTGTAGTTATAAAGCAATGCATGATTGAAATTTTTGTATAAAAAAAAAGTAATTTTTGTATAGAAAAAAAAATGTAATTTATTGCAAATAGTTGATTTTATAATACTAATCGATTAAAGTTTAATAAATGGAAAAGAAAACATTCTATTTTAATTTCCTTTCACGATAATTCACGTTTTTATTAATGTGTAGCATCTATGCTATTCCATATTATCAATAAAATATGGAATAATTCATATTTATACTATTTATAGCTTCTGCAAGCAGGAAGCGACAATACCGACTTTGCCGGGTAGCGATTCTAGTATCGTGGAACACAAGAAAAAGAACAGAAAGTATAAAAATGTGAAGAGCGCCACGCAAGCGGTAAACCTGGCGACGGGGCTTGAGAAACTCGAACGCCGATTGGCTAGTCTGGTATGACATTAGTGACTTTTCACATGTGGACATAATCTAGGGATTTATTGGAAGAAAGAACATAGGAAATTATTAACCAATCAGAAATCTCTAGACAGATAGAGAAAGGATTGTTGTGTTGGACAACTTGTTTCTTTTTTTTTTCGTGCCCAGCTTCTAATTAAAACTAACCTCCAAAACTGTCCAGAAGCCTCTTCTAGAGAGAGTTTACTGGCAGAAACACAATTAGTTATAATCGTTGTCTCTGAGATTTGAAATATTATTTCGGCTGAAAATATAATTTGAAAAGCCATGGTTACTACAATAATAAAATAGTTTTTACAATTTAAAAAAAAGATCTCTGACTTTTATCAATTAATCAATTGGTCGCTACAAAATGTCCGTGTTTTTCGTAAATGCGTAAGTAAACAAATTCTTATTGTTTTTTAGGTTATGCATTATTACATTCGCGATATATTGTAAAATAAGTAAAAAGAGAATAACATCCGTTTACAAAATTATTTTGTATTTTTTTGTGTTTAAAGTATTTTATAATGTGGTATCATGGTATTCATTCTGATATACTTACTGCACAATAAGAAAATGTTAATATTTTAATAACAGGAGTTTAACAAAAAATTGCATATTTTATTAGAAAAATATTTAATATATATTAAATTAAATTATTTCTAAGAGTTTGTGAGCATCCTTTTTTCTACAAAATCTTTGTTAGGATTTTTGGCTTTGTAAAAGACAATTATATTTTGGATTATATTGTTTCATCATTTTTTATCGTATAAATTTATATTTTATTTAAAACTATAGTATTAATATCAGATATATATATATATATATATAGATTCAAATTTTCATATTTGTGCTAAATATCTAACTAAAGTTTTCATAAATACAATATTGTTTGAGATAAATAAATGAAGAATAAAACAAGACATTTGTTTTTGCGGTTGCTATAAAACTAAACGTATAAAGTGCAATTACAAAAATTATTTTCTTCATTTTTAGGAATCAAGATAGCGAAGTAGAGGGTGACTCAAATGGCGACTTGCAAATCGCTTCACCAGGCAATTCCGAAGCTCAACAAGCATTGACTCATTTCTGGCCAAAAGTCATGGAAGAAATAAAAAATATTACAACTGTTAGTAAGATTATAATAGTGAGATAAAGTATAACTACACTTTTTCAATATTTAGATAAACATTCCTGTTAAACAGATGGATCTTAAAACACAATCTTTACCATTGGCAAGGATAAAAAAGATCATGAAACTAGATGGAGACGTAAAAATGATAAGTGCAGAAGCACCTATGCTCTTTGCCAAAGCGGCAGAGATCTTTATACACGAACTGACCCTTAGAGCTTGGGTGCACACAGAAGATAATAAGAGACGAACTCTTCAACGGAATGACATTGCAATGGCGGTTACAAAATACGATCAGTTTGATTTTCTTATAGATATAGTACCCAGAGACGAGATAAAACAAAGTAAGGCGCAGAACGAGGCCACTGTACGTACATCTATGAACTCGGATCAAGTTCATTATTACTTCCAATTGGCTCAGCAGCAAGCTTCGGCGAATCAAGGTGTGCAGAATAGTGGCACTACTACGCAACCCATACAAATTGTCCAACCTTCTGGCGGGCAAATCCAGACTATCAACATTGGCAGTCCGGTAGAACAGGTATATTACTTTCTTAACTAGTTCAAGAACAATTCATATGTACACAATTGATCTTAATGATTTTATCAATTTTAGGAGAGTACCAACACCACCACAGCCCAAACAGTTACAGTTCAAAGTCCACAGCAATCATCCAATCAACAAATTATTCAACTGCAACAACCGCAACAGCCATCCACTACACAAGCCGGAGGAATACAAATTGTTCAACAGATTGTCACTCCTAGCGGCGAAATTCAACAGATACCTGTGAGTGAAAAATTTCTTTATAAAATGAATTATTTATTTGTTTGATTGCGTGTCGTTTGATTGCCTTTGGTCCTCTTTTTCTCTTTTAGATTCAATTGACTCCCCAGCAATTGCAGATGATTCGCATGCAAGTGCAAGGCGGGAGCAATCAACCAATTATAATCCAAACTGCACCCATTCAAACTCAACCGCAACTGATACAAGTTGCACAGGGCTCTCAAGCTCCAGTTTTTTTACAAGCCTCCAATGCTGATACCGAATAATATTAATTATTTTTTTAGTTATATTTATTAACAATATAATGAGAAAAGAGATTTTGATAGATCAGATTATCATTGCGTAATTAAAATGACTCGATAAATTATCCAATTCCAAACATTTAAAATAAACATTTTTTTTTTACTTATAAGCAACTTGATATAAAGAAAAAGAAACGATTGTTTAATAATTGAAATCAGATTAATTTCAGTTAATTAATATTAAATGACTAGAATAGTCTTTCTTTTTTATTCAAATTTATTTCTGTGTATTGATGAATTTATCATACAATTATACAATAAATAATTATACTTCATTGTAATACTGCCTCGCTATTTTATTATTCGCTGTTGTGATGAAATATAGTTACTAAAAATTATTAACATAAAATCGAATTTTCCATAATGATTTGTCAAAACGAATTTTAATAAGTATTTATTTAGAAGGTGTACTGCACTTATTTTATGATGTCTCGCTCGTGTACTTTTTAAATAACCTATAAAAATTATATGAAAATTCTTTCTCGAAAATATTTCTGTTCATCGTGAATCGCCAGTGCATCCGAGCGTTGTTATACTTGTTATAAACTGATCGAAGGATTGGTCACTGAAGCGAAATGAGGTGAATCAAGGCGATGTAAGGTGAAGAATAAAGATAAGCAGCCAACGCAAGATGTAATCTGATTCGTACGTCGCGTTCCTTAGCCGTTGGCTGCCTGCTTCGCATGGCTGAGCTTAGGACTGGCTGGTGCAACTTGTATTATGTTTCACGTTGCTGCGGTTCTTGTCCGGCGAGTCTTGACGCAGAATCTCTACAATAGCCTCGGAAATGTCACGTAACAGTAACTATACGCATTCTTATTAAGTTGTTAATATGCGCATTAATGTTACGCTATCGATCTTAATGTGAATGAAAAATAATTACGCATTCATTAATCATACGCTTATCGTGGAGCGTATATAACCTTAATTATTTCACTCACGATAAATGACAATAAATTCGTACTTCAAAAATTGAATATTCAATTTTAATATGTAAATGAAAATAATTACGCATTCATTAATCATACGCTAATTATGTCGTGGACCGCGTATATAACCTTATATCATTATTATTTTATTGACAATAAATGACAATAAATTCATGAGCGTATACTATATAAATTTGACTTCAAAAATTGAATATTCAATTTTAACATAATAAATATTCCTTTATTATCTAATTTTTAATTCATCTATATTATCTACGAGAAATAAACTTAAGCGCGAATGAACTATATAGAGGAAGATAAAATGAGAGACATCAGCGGCCGATATTTGCCGATATATATTAAAACTTGATCGATCGGCGAATACCAATTCGCCGGGAAACCCTCGAATATATATACGGGGTGCTGAAAAGAAAACGTATTACATATATATATAAAGTTTACTCTTGCGAATTTTTTCTCTCACTTGAAATAAATATGAAAAATATTTTCAGTTCTGCAATATTATATTTAACACATTACTATTTTTTATTTTATTTTTTAATGGTTGGCACAATCTTAAAATTGGTACATAAAATTTTCCAACGTTCTATAATCTTGTCAAATTATCGTCGTTAATACATATCCTAAATGGAATAAACTAAATAAATTTGGATAATCAGGATACAGAGTAGTGTGCAAACTTTTTTTTTATTAGCACGGAACAAAGACATGCTCTCTGTACCGGAATGCTTCTCAAACGCTTAACAACGATTGTCGGTATCGTTGCATAATTTTTTTGACATATAAGCCATATAAAAAAGGGTCGTGAAGCGTTTGAGAATCCCGGTACTGTTTACACACAGACGTTGCGGTCCTGATTGTCAGGGAAACTACGTCACGCAGCGCATGTCACGTCGGCAAGGATCTTAATTAATATAATTTAGATGTAGGCATAATGTATCGACGAATATAATTTTGCGCTACGAAAAGATATAGAAAAACGAAAAAGAAAAAAATTGATAATTCACGCGAAATCATGAGAAATTCCTTATATTGTCAACGAGCGTGGCGATAATTTTCGCGCATCCCGAAATTTGTATTTGTCGGAATTACACTGGGGCAATTGACGATCGCTCGATTTTAATTCCTTGCCGTGACCGCCCGATAGATCCTTTCCACCCCGTGATCTACGCCACTGCCTAAATACTCGGATTTCACGACATGTTTACAAAGATCCTAGAGATAAGTTGAGAATGGCCGCCGCAGCCCCATGCCTCCTCCATGGGTGTAAGGTGACAGCTGCCTGCGCCTGCGTTGTATGCACATACACACACACATACACACGGAGTGTTCTTAACGAAAGAAAAGACATGGAAACCGAGTGACAAACATAAAACGAATTAATTATTTTAATTCGCAAGTTGTCGCCCAATTATTTAACATTTTAAATAAGTATTTCCAAAAGCTATATTTCCAAAAAACAAAATTAGAGCATTCTCATTGTAATTTTCATGTTTCTATTATTAAACTTTGCTTGCTCGAGATAGGAATAAAAAAATTAATAACTTTTAATTGTCTTTTGAAAAACAGGATTTTTTTCAAAAAAAAGCTAGCACTTCTACTAACACAAAATTCATGTTTTTTTTTTATTCGTTATAAATAACGCCGGTGGTCAGTATACGCTTTTGTCTTTATAGTATTTGAAACTGAATCGGAAGGATAGAACACCCTGTATAGCAAAGGGAGAACACACATACCTACTCACAGCAAAATCCTCGTCGCATACGTATATACATCCGTCTTCTACATACAACGATAAAACGGGGAGAGAGATATCTCGCTTACACTGGCCCAAAATTCGCAGAATCTCTCTTGCATCCATTTTTGCGAGATTATTACTTCAAGTACACGTATCATATATTCATTCATTGCAAAAGACACTCTTTTTCTCTCTCTCATTGGCTTCTATCAAGATTATATAATTTGCATCAACATATAGTATCTCGTCAATCTTCTTCAGATCTTCGTTGACGAATGTGTCAATACTTATATCCATTAACCCTTTGCGATCCTTTGTTGACGTGAACTTGACATGATGATTCATGATAATCCTCGCGAAGGTCTCCGAGCACTTGAGACAATGATCGAATGATTATGAACATACTGAGAATATCCATAAAACGCTCAAGATAATAAACATTTTGAAATCGTTTATATCTTTCATAATATTGAAATAATAATAAAATACTTAGCAATATTAATTTATCGAAATATGGAAATTAATTTTGAATTTTGCCTTTACAAAGGTAAAATCTCCTTCTCTCTTTTGAGATAATTTATCAGTTACATAAATCAACAAGTTAATTTTTCCAATTATTACCTATGTATAATATATATATATATATATATA